CATACTTTGTTGTAAGATTTTAACCTGTGGGTTGCTCCGGTTGAGTTCAGGATTTATGTCTTCAAATGTTTTGACAGGAGGCAGATCCAGAGCTTTTCTGATCGCAGTGTAACTACGCAGGCCGAAGTCTCTCCCTCTTTGGACCGTCATGGCCACCAGATCTGTCCGCGAGAACCTCAAGGACCCGTACATGAAGTCTGTCAGGGCGCAAATCAGATCAGATGAATGAACTACCTTATGTGTGTACTGTATATGAATGATTTGTAGAGGGATTTTATTGTGCATTTCTATGTTATATTTAAGATTTTCTGACTATTGTGGTTCTTTTAATTTCTGCACCAAAGCAAAAAGGCAAATTCCTTTTATGTGAAAAACGACTTGGTAATAAGCCTGTTACTGATCCTTCCCACATGCAGTGAATAATCATAAATAAACACCTCTAAGGTCCTCCACAACAGTATTGTCTTCTCTCTCTGCGATCTGGGAAGCCATGCCCATGACGAGGTCGTCCACATCCTGGCTCGTATTCACATTGTTACTCTAGAAACATATGACGAAGCATTAATAAGGTATAATACACCGCTTAATACCTTAAATTAAATGCAGATAAATTATATACCTGACGTTTCCAAAAGCTGTTACATAGACGCATTGCTGGTGATAAGCTGCCATCCATGTTGACAGTCTTCCGAAAATGGCAGGTTCTGTTTCTGAAGGACAAAGGAGACGTTTTATTTCTTATTAGTTATTTATACTGTATTTCAGATAGGGCAAGACACTGCTGACAGCAACATATGGACAATATTACACTTAATTAAAGCCCACTATACAAAATGTTCTTTGGTTTTACAGCTTCCAGGATAATAAATACTAATACCTCATGTAAACACCAGGTGGGGCCATAGTGATGCCAAATCGCATGGCAGCTGCCTGAAACTCAGGAGAAATCCCCGGATCAACAAACCTCTGGTAGCCTGTGCACAGATAGATCAGAGCATAACACCATACAATATAAGAAAACATTATAATTTATAATCTATCTTGGAAATAATCCTCCTGCATGATAACTGTGATACATTTATTGGAGCAAAGAACTGGAAACACAAGGAGGACACTGGAGAGCTTCAAATTGATGTAAGACACTGAAGATGTATTGGAAGAAACTTTGCTGAGACACAGTGGTGACACAGCCTCTGCTCAAACTAACTCTGAAGTTATCTTCCCCAGTCCCTGATACCTAACCACTCCTAAGGGCATAATTAACATTATACTACAAGACGCTCACAAAATGTCCTGTTATTGTGTGAAGAAGAGATTGTTTTATGGTCATGTCTAAAAAACACAGCTGTTGGTGAAACCCATGCACAAAATAAGTGCCTGCCTTATCATCAACAGCTTCCCCAGTGCTGTTTGCCTGTGATCAGAAAGAGAGGGGTGACATGAGACGTTAAGGCTCAAATAATCAAAACTAAGGGCCAAATAAATAAATTCCCTAACAATAACAACCTACACCATAATCAAAATGGTCAACGTTAACAAAATAAGTATAGATATAAAATGAAGAGTGATTAAGGTGCTGGTCTTATCAGCCCTTTGTCCTTTTAACTTTCTTCAGCAGCGGCTGCTTATTCAGCAGAAGAAGGGGACTGAGGGTGATGCTGTGCTGACGAAGCACATATTTGTCAAACACCAACAACGATAGCTCACCTCACCAAGGCTTGTGGTCATCGGTGCATTACCTGTTCCCCTCCACTTGTACGCACACGCACTCTGGCTGAGTCTTACCTGGATAAGGAGGAAGCTTTTTGTCTCCAAGATATGCAGGCAGCCATTCGTAGAGAGCAATATTCTGTGTGGAAGAATAAGATGGGAAAAAGTTATTGCAGCATTTGAATCCACACTAAAACCCAACATGATTGCATTACATTTGATGATTATATATCCATCCTTTTTTGTGATATAGTTTATTCTTATACATTAAACTCTTATTTTAATGTTGATATGAGGAAAATATTATCTGATAGCAAATAGTAGAGTATAATTTTCAATATAAGACGAGAAGCTACGTGTTGAGGACAGTTTTTGCAGTGGACAGACTCAACTAATCAAACAAGAAAGAGATGATGCATTCGCAATTAAATAAATCCATAAATCCATAACATTAAGACCACCTGGCGTACATGTATCCTCACTCTCTCCAAAGTGCAAATTAAATCTGCAGCTGAGCAGCGAGAGGATTACATGGAGATGTTTCCTTCTACCTGAAAGCTGGCCACAACGGTCTTCCTGGCGTTTTGAAAGAGCTTTTCGTCTGACCACGCTGGGTGTTCCTCATGCAGTTTGTAGGCTACATAATTGTGGTAGCGAAACCAGATAATCCCCTCTGCTGCCGTGAACATGTTCTCATTGGCCCAGGCATTTCCCAACTCTGGACACAGAAGATGGCACACATTATAGGGAATTCTGCTTTTCCATCATATGAATTCACATCACTGCAGCTACAACCTGAGAAACACACACTAGGTTGTATATGCGACATGTTTTTATACAGCGTGGTGTAGAAACTGGAAAGTGCAGTGTGACAATCTGATTGCATTGATTGATGAGGATATCTGAACACTAATGTAATGATAAATGATCTGTTTGTTTTGAAGGAAGCGGCAGCAGAGCGGTGACAACAGCAGATGATCCTCCGCCTCTCCCCCACATAATTACGACAGACTTTTAACAACACTAGCAACAAAACACTTGTGTCATGACAACTGCACTGCTTCTCAATGCTATACAGAGAGGGATTTACTGTGGTGAGCCTCACAAGCCATTAACACAATAATTAAAGAGTCATGACTTACGTCAGGCAGGGCCTCTCTGGACTAAGCCTCACAGGCTGCAACACTGATCGAAGCAGACGTGGCGCAAATAATATTTGCAAGAACGTCTTGCAGCTTGGTTTCTGCTGCAGTATCGATTAGGTGGTACTATTACCACATACACTGAAAAACAATATTTCACAAACCAGATTGTTTTAAAGCTGTAGTTCAGCCAAACACACACACAAACCTATTTGATCTCATATTGAGTGAAGTTTATGCAGGTTTTAGAGTAGAGTAATTTGCTTAGATTTGGAGATCTAGTATATGCACTTTTTAACCTGTATGCAAGTGTCAAAATAAACTCCTTTTAAGTTAAAATACTCTTTTAATGAGGAGAGAATGTCTACAGGCAGAGCTGTGGTCTATTGTGAACTTAGAAAAATACATTGCTGTTGAGTTTGGGCCTTAAAGGTCATAAATTAAATGCCACTTAGCTCCCCAGTTTTGGTATCCAGCCAACATTCCTGCTTCAATAAATCACACTTAACTATAAGGTTGGAGGTACTGCCCTCCAGGTAAAGAGGAAATTATATTTGACCGTGCTCTAGAGTAAATCAATGACAAACAGTCAGTTAAGTGCACTTTTCTGCAACTAATAGCAGCGCTGATGTATTTATAAGATGCCCTCGATATTGACCCCACTTTCTGCTGACTCACTGATTCAATAATATTACTTATTTACAAATGGTGTTATGTTTCCGGTCAGTTCTGAAGTTTCTCACCATAAAGGCCTTTTGGTCCATGGTCTCCTGTAGAGGGGTCAGCGGCACTCCACATGAGACTTGGTTCTTTTCCCTGATATGGCATGTTCCCCTCAGAGCCTGAAGTCAGGAGCCCTCCAGAGAAGCTTCTCAGGGAGTCGGACCAGGAGCTGGAAGGGCCGTAGATGGAGCTGCCATCTATCCATGCTGTCACCAAGTTCACCTGCACGTGTTGCATTTGTTTGATCATATTTGTGTGTTCTATTGGACATTATAGTGTTCAGGTTTATCAGTTGTATGGGGAGGCAGCATTATGAGGATACCATTAACAAACCTTCCGTTTTATACTGATACCTGTGTGCGAGGGTTACTGGGACTCTGGCCGGACTCTTTGTCCCACAATCCTCTCTGGAAGGGCAGCAGGACCTTCCCGGTGTCAGTGGGGTCAAATACAGGATCTCCCTTTGGGACTGGGATGTTCATAAACTCAGGCGGACATCCAGGTGTTCTCGAGTCAAAAATGTCAAACGAAACATGATAACCTAAAAAGTACAAAAAATAACAATTAAATGCCAAAAAACTACGAAAACATTTACATGGTTGGTACCTGAATGTTGTGTTATGCTCACTCACAAACAAAGAAATTATGTCATATTAATGGTTTAATATCAGCAAATATCTAATTTAATTTAGAATATGCTTCTCTAAAATATTATGCCTAGGAGTTTGCCATTTAAATCTACGTTTACATTAGCAACAATGAAAGTAATACCTTAAAATCGTGGGCAACACTTTCGGTAAGATTTAAGTTGAAAATAGCATGTCGCCATTGTGGTGCATTCTCATTCTCACAAGTTGTACTTGTTGCCTCAATGTTGTATTCAGTCATGTATCTCTGACTGCATTTATTGAAGGTGCACTTCAATGCAACAACATGCATGATATATATTTACCGAAGAACAGGGAGAGCACGGTCTGGTTGCGTGCTGAGGGCCGACCGGAAGGCCCCCCGGTCAGCAGGCTGCTCAGTCTGCGGGGGTTTGGCAGCAGAGGCTCGTGGACAGGTTGGTAGACTCCGTCCCAGTAATCCGCGGGCACGAGGCGCACAAGGTAGGAGCCTGCACGAGCACACACACAGTGAAGTGACCCAGGTGTTCTGGCAGCCTGCACGCTACTGTTACTGCTGCTGCTGCTGCTGCAAACTTTTAAAACTCTGTAACTCACCGACAGCTCCGCGTTTAGGATTCCCTAAACTGTTGTACCAGCCGTCAAAACGAGGAACCTCCCAGGTGTTTTCACAGCGTGAATCTGTTCAAGACATGTCGAGTTTAAACACTATTTTTCGAGATTAACTGAGCTGTTTTATGTGACCCTGAGTATGAAGCACAACTGCTGTCTACTTACGTTCACTGAGTATGAGCACCAAGCCAACCGCTGCGCAGACACTCAAAACCCATTTACGCAAATCCATTGATGCGAGAGATGCTGCTCAGTCAGTCTGCAGCCAAGAGGAGTGAAGGACTTCTGAAAAGTGAAGACAAGGTGAAGGTAAATTACAATTTTCTTTCAAATTACTATTACATTTCCTTTTAAATATACTTTGTTGGTTTAGCCTATATTTAAAAGGCAGGACATTTAATGCTACAACCTTTTGTCTGCTTTAACACACACCAAAACGTAACAAAACTTTGATTATGTTCCTGTTAGCCTTACCTGTAAACTGCAGACATCCAAAGATAATGACTTGTTTGTTAGAAGAAGATGAAATAGTTGAGTCTTACCCAGTGCAGGGGCTATAATGTAGTCGCAAAAAGGAGCACAGGTGAGGGATGGTGCAATAGTAAAGCCTTCATGTGTTGCATAGATTTTCACAAACTGCATGTGACCTGTGTTGCCTAAATGGGAATGGTCATATGTTTGGATCACTCCTCTTTTCCCCAGCTTGTCAATACATCCTCCCCCTCACAAAGGACACAAAGGGGGGCCGACACTATAAAAGAAGTGTATGTTTCCTCAACATTCACACTCTTCTGCGGTCCTCATCTTTCAACCTTTGGGTAAGAAAGACCTTTTGCATTTTTTTCTGTGTGTCTTTGATTGGTTTGTTTGTCACATTGGTTCAAATGAATCCATTACAATTAAGAAAACAGGTGGATGTATACAATTGCAAACCTTTGTGCATTACACTGATTAATTTATTTGCAATAAAGATATGCAGTACCAGGGAATATAGATGAAATTACATGAGTCAGACATATTACTCAAGAGTCAGATGTTTTACTCAATTAAGTGGCGTGTTTCAGTATTGTCCCATCCTTATCTACTGTAAGAAATAAGAGCAGCTATCTCTGTATCTGGAGGAAACTGAGAACCCTTCCACTAACACTGTCTTCTCTGTTAAACTCTCTAGTCTCAACTAAAGCGCTAAGATGACTCTCTTCGATGACATTTACCCATTCTACCCTCTACAAAGATCCTCCTTCCTCTTCAGTGGCCATTTGATCACAATAATTCTAGTCTTTCTTTTGCTAGCAGCCAGTCTTCTTATCATTTTGCCAGGGATACGAGGGAAGTCGGTGAGTTTCAAGCATCAGATAAACTTTTACTCACTGCAAACATCTCAGAATGATTGTCTCCTTTTTAATTCAATGTACATGAAATAGTTTTGAACTACTTTCCAATCAGAGGCTGTTCTGGATGATTCGAATAGTTACCAGCTTGTTCATAGGTGCAGTGTTAGTGGGTGAGTTTTGTATTCTTATCACTGTCGTTGAATAAATCACACAGATTTTCCTTTCCGTGCGAACATCCCTCACCTTTGTGTCTTTTCTCTACAGCGCTCAACTACACCGACGACTGGGCTGAGGCAAGAATGACCACTAATGCCACCTATAAGTCTTTCAGCGACGCAGTGGTTAATGCTGACATCGGCTTGCATATTGGGCTGTACGGTATCAACGTGACACTAAAGGGTGAGTCAGTGTGGCTGCTGTTGTGCAGAAATGTGTATTATACACTCATACACTGATTGCTTACCCTAGCAACTTTGATCTTTTGATCTTGATGCTTTTATCTGGTTAAATAAAGGTTAAATAAAAAAATAAAAATCCAGATGTTCACTCAACAGACTGATAATATATTCCTGTCATAAAACTACAACACCCTTTTGTGGGAAATGTGTGATTTTAGTTGTCATAAATGCACTCCTGTTTTCTCTCTCAGGGAACCCCATTGTACAGTTCAATGAGACCATAGACTACAATGAGATGTTCAGCTGGCATGACACTATTGAAGAAGAGTATGAGGAAGCTCTGGAGAAAGGTTTACCCAACCCCATCCTGTACATAGCTGAGAAATTCACCATAAGCAACCCATGTGGACTCATCTTTCAGTACAGATACTCTGGCCGATACGCCTCGGCAACCCTCTGGTAACATTAAATACCTGCATACATTTTGGAGTTTTAAAGTACTGTCAGTTTAAGCAGATGGTAGTAAAAGTAGTTGAATTAAAACATCTGCACACTTTCACAGGACGGCTTTCTGCTGCTGGATTCTCGCCAATATCCTCTTCTCCATGCCGGTCATTCTGTACGCCGGGTACATGATGATGGCCACCGCTGCCTTCATCTTCTTCGCCATGGCTTCTTTCTCCACTATCATGAACGCACCTCAGTGTGTTTTCTCCATAGGATCCGATTCATTTGAAGCACAGTACAGCCATTCATTCTGGCTGGCTCTGGCTACAGGTAAAGATAATAGGCTTAACATTTATTTAATATGTTTGTATGTTTTAAACTGTACATTTTCAAACAGCTGTGAAGATTTCTAGTAATGGAAATGTTTTTCAGGTTTGCTGTGCACCATCATCGGTGTTCTGGTGACGCTGTTGCACTTTCTCATACCAGAGAAGATGAAAGAGGCTTTCAGTGTTGGTGTCGACAGTTATGAAGATGAGGATGTTTCTTATGGGGAGGGCTACCTTAACGCAGTTTTTCTTGATGGAGTGACAATTTCACCGCTGTCATCAAAAGTCAGAGAGGTAAGGTGGCAATAATTAGAGCTTAATACCTCCTTTTGACACCTTCTATGAATTTGCTGTGAGACTTGACTTTGATATACATTTTAATGATGCAGAATACATATTGAACTCTGTGACGAATGCTGTATTAATAAGGGATGCCATCTTGAAATCTAATGAATCACTGCTAGTATAGCTACCATGGCAACTAAATCCTTAAAGCTGAGTGTTGCACTTTTATGTTCATGTATAACATTTAAGAAAGGTATTTCCTTCTCTGCTTAACTGTGACTGAGATGATTTTGTTTCTGTGTTTTAGGAACAAATATGACGCTGTCCTGGTTTCCCTCGGGGAGCTTTTCCAGCCAATACTTGAAGATATTTCTTGCTGAATGTGTTACAGATTAAGTGTCTTATTTCTCATCTGTTTTAATTATCTTTGTGAGCCTGTGAAGTGTTATACATCATTGAACTGTACATAGTTGTATTTGTGAAGTTCTAATGTCATGTTGCAATAGTTGTAGGAACAGTATATGAAGTTGTATGGGATCCATGCAGTATGTATATAAACTGATCAATAAGGAATCTGTCATTGTTCAACTTCCTTTCGTTCATTTCAAATGAAAGATGAGACAAATCGTTAATTTGACGACTTTCTTCAGAATTCATGGAATGCATGCACATAGCCATGGCAACACTATGTGGCTTACTTTGATCATACTTCCTGTGGGTTGAAGTATCTTTATTTCACAGCTTCTAAGATCCAAATAAATGTGAAAAGATGAGAAGTAGAATAAGTAGCAAACTGCCTCGTCAAGAATAATAATCTCTTAAAGGGACCCTATGATGCTAATTTTCAGGTTTATTTTGTTTATAGTGCCTCAACTGTGACATGTTTACATGCTTTAATGTTGAAAAAGCTCTGTATTTTTCTCATACTGCCTGTGCCGCAGCACCTCTTTTCACCCTCTGTCTGAAACCAGTGCCAAGTCTGCTCTGATTGGTTAGCAGGCCGGCTCTGTTGTGATTGGTCAACCGCTTATAGATGTCCCGCCCCTTAATCACGAACAATGTGTTTTAGCAAATAGAAGCGCGAGTGTAACATAGTGATGTCATTATGTTACGGAAGTAAGTATCGAGTCTAATGGAGGCGTTTCAGGCATCGGGGGGGGAGTGAGTGGGAGAGAAAATCCTTCTGGAGGGAACTTCGAGATTTTAGCCTTTGTAGACCATTTACATGCACATAAACCTATATAACACACTACAGGAAAGGGAAAACCCTGAAAAGCATAATAGGGAACCTCAAACCATGCAAATGTAATGTATGTCTTGTGTGTTTGTAAGTACTTTTTTGCTGCAACACCTCAATAAAATAAAAAACAACAACAAACATTCATCAGTGAGATTGTATTCTTAGTGTTATAACATTACATTCATTCAGAAATGTATATTTTGATACATTCTTGTACTGTTTGCTCTGGGAAAGGTAATGATCACCGATTCTGTAAGTCTTTGAAAAGTAGTTGTGTCTTTGGCCTTCAGCATCACCATAATACACAAAGCTTTTGTACAGCATATTATTATCTTATTTTAATACTTATTTTTATAGATTATCATGTCAGATTGAGAAAGAATCCCTGGTCAGTAATTCTTCATAATAACATGCATATACTGTAGGAGTAATATGGCCTTTCCAACCAATTCCTTGAGTAGTCCAAAGTATTTACAGTATAAGCACATTTTGAAACTCCATACACATTATAAAAATGACTAAATAAAAAATAAATGTACTAATTTATCTCTTCATAAGAAAATAATCGTGACCTTAAAGCTACTTCTCTTCAACACCAGAAACTTACGTACAGTACTACAGACAGAGTATTCACATTGTAAGGCCATTATGACAATGTAATTCAAGATAAAACCTGAAAATGAGAACCGGATGTTCTTTACAGCTTTGCAACAAGAGGCCGGGAAAATAAAATGATAGAAAAATAAAATCTCCCCGTCCCACTGAGCCACCTGTCCATCATCTGTCCTTCGCCTCCACCCAGCCAGACATGCAGAGCTACAGTGGGCTGATCCATGCACGGTCTCTAAATGTAGAGGGGCGTCTCCTGTCCCGTCAGCAGTCTGAACATCACGGCAGGCATCGTCTTCATGTTGATCTGGCAGAGACGAGAGGAGGGGGGGCAATTACACTGTCAACTTAAGGGTCCGTTTATAGAGTCATAATCACTTGAATCCTGGCCTAATTGACTTCCTTCTGTGACACCAGAAACTCAGAGGAGACCTTGAATCAATTAGTGACAAAGAATATGCTTCTATGGCTTTAATGGAGACATATACTGTGATGAATAGGGGCAAATAAACTCACAATAACATCACACGATGTTCACATCTTCGTAAATGTGTAAGTAATGGATCTGACCAAGAATGGTTGACTCATCAGAATCAGAATACCTTTATTAGTCCCACAGAGCCTAAAGAAAACTGACCTAATAATACACTTTGTATATTGTAATAAACTGTTCACAAAAATAATCAGATTGTTTTGCTCTGGCTTTAATCTTAACATTTAAGGCATCCTTATTCACTCTCTTGCTGAGAATTAGGTGATGATATTGCTCATCTTGTACATCTGTATTATATATATGAAGCTGCTGCTAGCCTTCAGTTAGCTTAGCTTAGCCAAAAAGATTAGAAACAAGGTCAACAGCTAGCATTGCTCTTTCCAAAGGTGACATAATACACCTACCTGCACCTCTGAGCTCACTTCTTAACAAGTTGTGTCAAGTTCTTTTAATCTGTTCAAATACCCAACGGTAGAAATTAAACATCAGGGTTTTACAAAGGTTTTTGTGGTTGACCATTCTCTGGCTTAGTAACCGTGAGCCTAGTCGTCACCTTGAGGTTTTGTTTCACACTTAAATGTGTTGTAAACAAACAAGATATGACATGATAATTAAAATTAGCTTCAGTGTTGTTTGTAGGTGGATGAGGATATTAACTTTCATTTGTACATTTGAGCTAAAAAACAAGATAGATTTGTGTCCTAAAATGTATAGTGTAGAAGGCCTGAAATTAAATCATGCTTAATTTTTTACCGCTCATCTGCTGCTACACTTTTCAGCCAACAATCTAGCCCAAACCAAATGTAAAGATGTATTTGATTGATGAAATGCAAGCAGTAGTAATTTATGTAACCAAAACTCTGTGCCTTGAACTAATCTCTAATCTGAAGGCATAACTTTGAAAGGCCTTTATGCTACAGAGACTTGTGTGGGGCAGTAATCAGAGAAAATTGCCATCTTGTCGCATGATGTCTTCTTACCTCACCCACTGAGACAGACAGGGTTTGAACAATCTTCTCGTGTGCCATGGCAACAACACTCTGACCATTTATCTCAATGATCCTGTGTCCAACACGAACACCGCCTCGCTCAGCTATGCCACCTCGCATCAGACTGCAGATCTGAGGGTTGAAAAACTGCATAGTTTACAGCAGACACTAAACTCAGTGGTTTTCTTCAGAAGCTGCCAAACCCTTAACCTAAAGTGCCATGCTTCATACCAACAAAGGCTTACTCACAATGCCATTCTGCACACTGAAACCAAGCTGGAACTTGAGATCAGGTCTCTTGATGAGGACAGTGGTGACAGGAGGGCAGCTCACAATACTCAGCTTTACCTTCACCTGGTTCTTCAGACCCTGAAGAATAAAAACCGATTTTAGGATTCCAAAACCAAAATGAATTCATCCTACTGATGGGTAATACCTGCTGTAGCCAAATTCCTTATTCCTTTAGTAGTGTTTAAATCCACATTAAAAACATGTAATATGTAGTTTATTTGAAGTTGATCCTTTATACCTGGTGCTGCTCAAATAATAATACTAAAAGTAGTCTGCAACAAATGCACTATTCGCTCCAGTTTGAGTAGCATTTGCAAACAACTAGGAAATTGTTTAGTGATATTTCGTTAGAAGACTAAAGGAAAAGGGGAATATGTTAAATCCATAATGAGTTACCTTGATGATGCCCTGACAGGTTGCCAGTGGCAGACCCACCAGACTTGTGTCATTGATGGACATAATCTGGTCCCCAACACTGAGTTTTCCGGAGCGAGCTGCAGGGCCGCTGTTCAGCATGCTGGCCAGAATGACGGTGGGCAGGATGGAGCCCCACCCAGACTCCACAATCACCACACCAAGACTCTCCCCTTTCTGCTTCTCCACATTCAGCTGGAACCAAGAAAAAGCTTTTTCAATCATTTTGTAAGCACATTTTGAATGTCACATGCCAGGGTTTAGAAGTACAGTGAATGATGTGGAGGGAAATCCATCTGTCCTCATCCACAAATCACCTGAAGCCATAATGAAAAAACTTCAAACCTCTTTACAGTTGTCTGAGTTTGAGAAATGGACGAGGTCATCGTGGTACATTTCCTGGGAGTTGATGATGTCACTGTATTGTTTCTGGCTCAAGTCGGTCGGGTTGATGCCGTTGGCTCGCAGGAACTCTCTGTAGGCCACGCTAAAGGCCTGACCGATGGACTGTGCAATGAGCTGAGCCTGTGGGAAGGGGAGAGTTTGGGGAAACTACTCAGCAGAAAGGCTATCCCAGTTGACAACAGCAAGGAGGTGGGAAAGATGACAATGTTATAGACACCATCGGAACAAACATCTGATATAAAACTAAGGCATATACTCAAAACTCAAAATGTATTTCAGTTTAGCAGCAAATACTCACATCTTCAGACTCAAAGACATAGCAGATCATCCTGTACTGACTCTTCCCTTCGCCAGCAGAGTCAGGAGACTCTGAGAAATCCTCTGATGAGGCCTGAGACAGGCGCCTCCGAGCCATCAGAACCACAATACTGCCAATGTCTGCGATATAGGAAATGGTCCGCAAGGCACTGTCCATCATTGTATCCTGCGTGGAACAACAATAATGGCAATCACTACTCAGTTATATAGACTTAACACACAAGGGAAGCTTATGTGTTAGATTTAACACACAAGGGAACACAAAAGAGTTACTAACCTGTGTGTCAGCATTCAGCACTTTGACAGCTTTGGTGGAGATAAACAGGTCCACTTCTGTCATCATTTGAGAGTCTTCATCTTGGCTCTTTGAAATAAATATATATTATTTTAATCAGATGTTTAATATTTGTTGTACCTGTATGTTACAATGCAAACTCTTAGCTTATTTTAAAGACACTAACATGGCCGTTGAGAAAAAAGCCTATGCAACAGCACCACCGTGTGGTAAGGAAAGGACCATGCTGCATAGTTTACCCTTTACAAATAAATCAGCTGGCAATATACAGGTACATATACACATACAACTCCCACACAAATACAAAGTAAAATGCCTTTTTGGAGCACAACCCACTTGCATTGCTAAACAACTACCTTGTTGTTTTACTCAGAGGCATCAATATTGATTCTTAAACCTGCAAACACTGATAGCAGTTGGAATCAAGTTAGCTCGATGGCTAAAGATTAAAAGGCAATGTCTTGTGTTTTTTCCCATCATTTTCTAATCAATTTGTCCTGAACACAAAGACCAGATTAAAGAAGAATGCATGCAGCAACCTCTTTAGCAAGTTAAATATGTATAAACTAAATCAATGGATATTAATGAGTGTCTCTGAAGAGACAGATTACCTTGATGCGACTGACAGCTTCATGGGCCTGGGACATGCGGACAGACTTGGATGGGTTTTTATCAGACAACACCTGAGTGCAGCCAAGGTAGTTAGCAGCAAAAATGATCCCATCAATAAGATCCTCTGGCTCACAGGGACCTGGGACTATGCAGAAAACAAACGGCTGTCAGTGGAAACATTTGAATGTACTGGAAAGATTTATGAAATATAGGAATATTATGAGATAATCACCATCTTCAAAGCTTGGGAAAGAAGCAGCTTCCTGTGTATTCTTAAAAATAAGCATGTCAATATTAGCCTTTAATTGTACAGCATTGGTATGACTATTAATACCTGAGATACATATCAGTTAATCATAGTAAATATTGTATAAAAGCATATCAAATAGAATCATTAATACAAGAAAAATAAGGCAATAAATGTTCCAGTGCAGTCACATAAATAAATAATTATTTGATATAATAAGTGGCATACAGAAAAAAGTATTCTTATAGTGGGAATATCAAAAATGGAAGTTTTGGAGATGGAGAAAAGGCAGATTAATTCCCTTAAACTACATAAATTAAAAGAATGTGGATGTCATCAATGAAACATAGTCTTCTGTTTTGTAAAAAGTATTCACCTTGGGTGTGTTGCTGTCCTCTGCAGGGAGGGGCTCTGGACTCGGAGGCCTCCTCGGCTGCTCCGGCACATCCTCAGGTATCACAGCCGTGCTCGGCTTCTCCCCCTGTTGTATTCAAACATCTGCTATAACTTTGGCATGTCTTGTTTTTTTAATTTCCTATTGTCCTGTGTAAATGATAACCCCATGGGGAAAGATACTTTTCATGGCAAAGCATGTACTTAACATCATACTGCAACCACTCTAGGACACAGTGAAGGTAGATTGTGCAGGAACAAACACAAGCCCCAAGGGATGGGATCTGAAAAAGACCTGCCCTATTTGCATTTGGTTACCTGCTGCGGTTTCTCTGGTCGTCTCTGCCTGTCCTCAGGAGGCTCCTTCTGTGGTTCTGGTGTTTGATGAGCAGCCAAGGCTGGTTTGGTAACCCTGGGTTCACTCTCCTGGCTGTCGGCAGAAGAGAGACTGGCTCTGGGAACAGGAGGAGTCTCTATGCGAGGCGGGGCCTTCTGGGTGTCGGCAGGAGGCTGAGCATGTGCGTGACGAGGTGGCGGGGGAGGATGAGGCCTACTGGAACCAGACCGAGCTTTGGTCCTCACCACAGCTTTTTTGCTGTCCTTTGACAAAGTCTTTGGACGCTGTTCACTGCTGTTGGTCGTGCATCCTTTGATCCCAGAAACAATGGGCTCCATGTCCTCTCCTGCTACCCTCCTCCCTCGTCCTTTACCCTGCCTCTCTGTCTCCTTTGAACCCATGTGAGACGCCTCACACTTCTTACTAGCTACGGGGATATTACGGTTTCTGGCCACTCGAGTGTCATCATCTCTCTTCCTTTCATCACCTCCCTTTCTAACTCTTTCATTCTCCTTGTCCTGATAAAGGCTGGTCTTTCTTTGAACTATGGTCTCTTCCTCCTCTAAATCCTCTATAAATTTGGCCCCGTCCAACACTTCCTCTATCTCATCTCCGTCATTGAAGAAAAACCTGTTCTCCTGGCACTTTTTCACCTCCCTCTCTGCTTCAGCCACAGCAGTAGGAGCACAATGCGACCTAAATCCATGGCCCGTCTTGTGAGGTTTAGTGTCTGATTGTGATCCCTCATATATTTCTGTGCCATGTCCCGGCCTGGGAGTAAACTGGTCAACAGCACTGCTGCTGTCATTAATATTATCGCCTACTGCATGCTTTATATAGCCACCATCCTCAGGAGAGTACTGTTTGTAGAACCTCGGGTCCACAACGCCCTCTCTGTTTAAATGCAGTACCTCATCGTAGTCCTGCTCCACATCAGAGCCCACGTTGTCGTACTCGGAGCAGGTGTCCTCCATGTCCTCAGGACTAGGGTCACAACTCAAGTACAATTGGCTTGCAGGGACAGGAATCAGCTGGTCTTTGATTTCATCCTTCAAGGTGCACAATGATTTCTCAGACGCCTCCTTTACCAAAGCTCGCTGCTCTTCTTGTCTCGGTTCAGTGACTCCTGGACCGGAGCACGGTGGAGGGCTGGGGGCCAATACTTTGGTGATGGGTCCTGGCCTTTTTCCATGAACCATAACTGGCCTTTAAGCACACTATACCTTCAACCCTGTGAACAATAATAGATAACCACAATTAAACCTCTGAGATGCATTATGCTACTTTTACACTTCACACCGTGAACAGCACATTGTCTTTTTTCACATAGAAACAGAAACATTGAACAAATGTTACTTTTTAAAAGATAATGTACAACTTTACCGCCTGTTAAATGTCTTTACTGAAACCAATGTACTGCCACATGTTATTCCTATCTCTGTTATAAATACACATATTATTAAGGCATTCATATTTAAAATGTCAGCAAAACAACTTTTTCTCTTGCTTACCATCGAAAATCATAACACACACTAACAACACATTTTTGGAGCATATCTCAAGCAATCAAACTATATCAGATAACATATGATCACAGGTTAGTTTCCACAATAGCACACAAATTAGAAACATTATATTAGAGTAAATATATTTCTTTACATTCAATACTAACACAACCCCTACTCCAAGGTCAAACAGGCCACCTAGTATCAAGTTATCTATCTATATATCTATTACTTCATTACCATCTAACACCAACATTCACCATCTGACTCCTTTTGTCTATGACTGCTAAGGTTGTTTGTAACCTGTCATCTTGCTTTGAATCTGCTCTAATTGTGCCTTGATGTCCTGCAGAATAGGAGATATGCAACAAAACCATTGAACAGCAGCATGTGATGTTTTTATGATGTCAAATAATTGTTACTTTTTCAATTAAAGTGATATTCTTCCTTAAAAACGTATCTCTGATACACTATTATCATTTTAGTCTATGCACCAGATTCAAAATCCAAGTCAACTTTTTATTTGATGATTAATCGATTAATCTGCAAATGTTTTAATTACCACTTAAAAAATGCCCAAAGAAAAAAAAAATACATTACAATAATAGTTTGCTGCAACCCTACAGTGTGTAGCTTTACACCAACAAAATATATTATAAATATGATTCATAACAAACAGAAAATACGTTCATCATTTAGGCCTTATGCATTCCCTGGATCCATTACTCTATTTGAATCTTTTATACAAAAGAAGAGCAACATAAAATGCTTAATTCTGTTCTCAGTCTAATATTTAAGGCGTTAACACTTAATAGTGGCCTTCTGACAGTAGCTCTCACACTGAACACAGTGGGCTGATATCCGCCCAGTCTCAACATGTCAACACCCTCATCAAAACATGAATCGTGAAGGCTTGAGGCTTAAATGGGAGAAAAAAACAGTACGATTGTGCTATTTGGCCTTAAGCTTTTTGAATATTATTTATGTTTATCACACTAAACACAATAAATCCTAACCGCTCACAGTGTTGATCTCATGACAATGCAACTGAGATTATGCTGTTATGAATACAAAAACCTAATCCCCCCAGATCACCTCCCATAGGCTATTACACGCGGACCTAATCATGACCTCTCCATGGTGCTGAAGTGCTTATTAAAACAATAAGGGTCATTATGGTCGCGATTTCACGCAGTTCGCCCTGCCCTTCACATATTTGTGTAGGTATCTAATAAAGCCATTCTGATTAACTTTTGCCGCAGCTGCAGGAGTGGATGTTGTGGTGGCTCCGGTTTCCCCACAAGTGGACGCCGCATTCCCATCTGCTTAAACATCGATAAGATAATAAGATATATGGTTTTCCTGCGCATATAGCACGCAGTGATGGATCTGACTCCCTGCAAACACACTCTGCTGAATTCATCATCTGCAAGCAAATATTATCCTTCTGCTGTAATGCACATCGACCTTGATTTGAAGCATCGAGGCTGCATCATCCAGTTTATGGGCTGACGTTGTACCAAAGGACCACATCCAGCAGCATTGTCTTCGGCTCTCTTATCGCAAGACGAAGAGGCCTATGTGCATCACAAATACATGTTTCCCCATCCAAACACAGACAATGCTATGTGGCACTTACCAACATCAGTCCTGTCGGCCGCACCTCCTTGTAAAATGCCCGTGTGCTGATCACATCAGATTGCTCTCCGGAATGGTGATTTTTGAATAAAAGCCGCACAGCAGCCCAGGAACCTGTGTAGAAAAACACACCCCCATCATCATGTGCTCACTGCTCGGTCCCCCAACTAATTACACTGTGATAGGCATAATGACCACAGAGACAAACATACTGTACACCTAAATAACTGACCGGTATCGTGTATGTATATATTTCACTTTAAAATTCTGTTTTTTAATTTCCTATTTGGGGATTTTCCTATTTAATGTTTATCTCGGCTTATTTTGTAGCTACTCCTTTTCATTTTCACATTGTGTGAAATGCCTTGTTTACATGCCGCTGTATCGAACACAAATTCCAAATTGGGATCATTAAAGTATATCTTATCTTATTATCTTATCAAAAAGTTAAAAACCCTTCCAAATCTTAATTTCCCAAAAGATTAACAGTAAATTAAAGGAGAAATTTACGATGTAAAAAAAACACTTTCTATTTTTTGCATTATAGTAACACTGACTTTATTTAAAAACACACATCAATTAATATAATTTAAAATTGCTTTTTTCTTTATCTTGTTAGCGTTTAGGTGGTTGAGAAGTATCGATGTAGTTGGGATCGATTGGTACATCCTTATCAGGCAATCTGCGCTCCGCTGGTTAAGCCTGGGAAGCGGGATTGTTATGATCGTGCAGCGCTCTTCTTTTCTACCGGTATGTTAGCTTCTGTTTTCAATTGACAGTCTTTTTATATTAGTGTTTTAGCGTTTTTCTAATGCATATTTGAACCACCAAAGCTACATGTGTATACTCGTTTAAAGAAAGTGTTTTTATGAGTCGAGTTAGCCAAACAGAGCCATTAGCAGTATCTGTCGAGCCTATCCGTATTATGCAACAAAGAAAAGCTTATAAAAAAGCCTTGTATTGAGCAGCAATTCAGCCTGCATCATGACGGAAAGAGCCAGCAAAGTAACACCGAGAGGAAGTTTGTCATTGTCTAAGAGTAAGAAGAAAGGCAATGTCAAAGCTGGGATTTCTGCCAGTCCTGCCACCACCACACCTCCCATCAGCTCCTTCTTCAGCAGCCAGCCCCCCCCTAAACTGGCCTGCCCCCTGTGTGGCCAGCTGGTACCAAGATTCAAGATCAATGAGCACATTGATTTGCAATGTCAGAACTTTGAGAGAGGAGACAGCAGTGCAGCCTCAGCAAGTGATACTGTCGTGCCAAGCAAGCAGCTGTCACCCATAAGGAATCCCCCAAAGTCCCTAAAGCTGGATCCAAAGAATGAAGAAGAAATCAAAGGCACCAAGACCAGCCCTTATTTCAAGAAGAATGATTCTCAGCAGGCACCACTGGAATTGAGAAGTAAAAGTGTGGTGAGGACCATTGACCTGGGAAGTCTCTCCTCCAAGTTATCTATGAAAGGACATAAGTCACCTAAGAGGACAAAGACAGGAGATAAACGGGCACCAATGGATCCTGAAAAGGCGATATGTTCATCTCCTGAGACCCTCAGCAGCTCACAGAAAGAAAATATTCAGACTTTAGAAGCCGAACAAGATGGTGTGACAGTCATTGACCTCACAGACACTAGTAATGACTCTCCAACAGCAGTGGAAGATATATCATGTTTAGACAAAGGACGTAATCCTGAACGCAAAGCTCCTAAATCAGAGAAAGTGGTTACTCTAAAGCTGCTCTCTTCTTCCTCTAAAGTTTTGGTGTCTAAACTATCAAAGAGAAAAAAGGGAACACCTTCCACTGGCAGCGCGTCAGGACTAAGAAAGAAAGCAAAATATGAGGGGAGCAGCGTTGAGCCAGAGGACGTGTTTTCTAGTGACATTAAAGCAGCGATGACTGATACAGACCAGACTAAAACTGAGGGACCTTCTACCACTACTTGTGACCCCCTTCTGACTTCAGAGGAAACAAATGATGCAGCGATCAAAAGTGATACACAGTCAGAGTCTATTACTGAGAGCATCCCGAGTGACCAGGCTGTCGATCCCCTACGGCTTCCCTACTACCTCCGTAACTTCCTGACCGTACTACAGGCTGTGCTGGAGAATGAGGACGACAGGTCATTGTTCAATCAGGATGACATGTCACTCATCCATGCATTCAAGAAACTCTCAGGTAATGCCGATATAAAACTTGAATTATCTGTAGATTATTTTCCATGAATTGTTACACAAGGACAAAATAGTCAAACATATACATACTAGTTTGTCCAAAGGGATATCTTTAAATGCCTTGTTTAAACGTCCGAACATCAAAATAATCTAGGGTTATATGTATGCTGTAAAACAGAAAAGCAGGACATATTTGTATTTTAGAAACTGAAAACTAAATTTTCTACCATTTTGCATGACATTTTATTAAATGATTAAAGATTAACCGATTACCATAATAGTTTGCGATCGACTATCTGAGTAGTAGGCAGATTGTTGCAGCTCTACCTTCTGTTATTGTTATTTATTTTAAGAGAGGCCTCATCACTCACATGTATTTTCCCCTCAAGTCATGGGGCAGAAGCTGTATGTGAGACTCTTTCAGAGGAAACTGAAGTGGCTCCAAGTGAATAAACTGGATTATGAAGAGATATGCAGTGATCTGGGACCTGTGGCTCAGGAGCTGGTTCAAACTGGTTTTCTCCAGTCAGGTAAATGATATCTAATACTATCGTTTTTATTTATGGAGCCTCTTTAGAAGAGAACACCTCTTGAATTACTTGGAACATGTATATTGACAGTATGATTTTGTTAATGAAGGATTTAGATGTTGTTATATCGTAACTTACAGTTTTAGCTAAGTTGTATAGTACCAATCTTTTTTGCCATATAATGTTTTTAACATTCTTTTGAAAATAGCTATATGAATAAAGTATTTTTAAGAACATACTGTATGTTATCCTGCTGTAACACCACATCGAAAACATCTTCTAGTTTTATCTCGTTAATGCTCATCTCTGCTGTTTTTGAAAATCCTAGAGTGTGAACTTCAGGACTTGGGGGAGACTCTCGATCTCCTGCCCGCTCCTGATCTCAAATCTCTGGCTAAGACTTTCCATCTGGGCAATTCTGGGACTCAGAAACAGCAGCTGGTGGACGGACTTCTCCGTTTGAGCCGGCAAAAGTCCCTCTTCTCTGTGTCCGCTGCTCAGAACATCATTGGGGCTGTCATTCTCAAAAGGTGAAACAATCAAACACATTGTGTGCATTGACAGTTCTAGTATTGCAGTAATGATCTCACCCTTGTCTCCTCTTACCTTTTGAAAGGGCAAAGCAGCTTGCAAGTTCCTGTGTGCGCCTGTGTCGCGGTGCTCGAGCCGTCTTCTCTCGGATCCTGCTCCTCTTCTCTTTGACGGACACCCTGGAGGACGAGGAGACGGCGGCTGGTGGGCAGAGCCAGCTGTTCACCATTCTGCTGGTTAACTCTGGACGCCTGGCCTTCCCAGACTACACCGTGCAGCGTTCAGCCAAGGTGTTCCAGGACAGAGAGGATCTCATCAGGTGCGGGGCTGCACAAAGAGCTAAAATGTAGTATAATGTATTGTATATACAGAATACATATTAGGGCTGGAACGGTATACCGAAGTCACAGTTAGAATCGTTCCCAGTTTTATGAGCCCTGGTTTGGTGTGCAATAACTGCAGTACAGTGGAAAACTCCATATGCATAAGGCTAGATTTATTTTCATTTCTTTTGAGTAGACAGCAGTGCAAGGCACACAACTTTTTCCGGAAGACAACAATTCACAAAAGGCTATAAACGTGAAAGGCTTATACTCCAAAATATACAAATTAAAACATTTGCATTAGGAGTGTTTTAATATGTGTCACATTGGCTAAATGTTCACATTAACAAACAAAAATATTCAGTGTTTGACTATATTTACCGTGCCGTGACAGTTCGGTAGTAATACAGGAACCATTACAGTCCTAATTAATACTCATGATTCCATCTATCCCACTAGATATGAAGCATCCATGCGGACCCTGCAGGAGGTAGTGTCAGCCATGCAGGGGGGTCAATGGGAAGAGGCCATGGAGCTCTATACTGCGGCTAAAAGTGTCTGGAAGGAGCTGAGGACAAACCATGACCTCAGGTGACATAAATCTTTTAAATAGCTTCTGTCTTAAACCAAGATATAAATTCCCTGGATATCGTTTAATGCTAATATTACCACTATGTTCGATTGGATAGTCATGAGGAGGAGCTGCCTGTGTTCCTACGCAGCTTCACTACAGGATGGGCTTACACTCGGGTCTTAACCAGAGGGGTGGAGATCTCGCAAAGGCTACGTTGCTATGAGGTTTTCTGACCCTGTCCACTCGCATTTACTGTAGATCAAATAAAAGTACTTTAAAAGGGAAAAGTGTGTATTCAGGGGTTACATTTCTAATGGTTCTTCTTCTGGTTTGCAGGAAGCAGTAGAGGAGCTGCAGTCCTTACTGTCGCAATCTGTTTACTGTCCTGACAGTCGAGGCCGATGGTGGGACAGACTGGCACTCAACCTTCACCAGCACCTTAAAAAACCTGAGCAAGTGAGCACCGTTACCCTCGGTTCCATTTAATCGTGTATCTCTTTGTGTGAGTGCTCAACAATAGCTATGGTGTTTTTATTTGTTTGACAGTGTTCTTTACCCATTGCTCTCAGGCTATATGTGCTATCAGAGATGGGATGTCAGACCCTCTGGTGCGTACTGGACACAAACTGTCTCTTCATCAGAGAGCTGTCAGGATGAAAGAGTCTGCCAGCCTGAAGAAGCATCGCCTGCAAATGAATGACATGCCCACTATCCAAGTTGAAGATGTCACTCATGTGAGTCTAGCACAGCTCAAGACCCAATACTTACAATAATGGAATAAGAATGGCCACAAAATCAACATTTATATAGATTACCAGGGACTACAGATGAAAAATAGCCTCTTGGCTAACTCAGGCACATTTACAGCAATGTTAATTAATGTGTTAAATAAATGAATAAATAAAATTATATAATAATAATAATAATACATGTCATTTATATAGCGCTTTTCCTGGTGCTCGCTTTACAAGCAAGTAAAGAAGATATATATATATAGAATGATAAAGAACAATCACAGTTTAGAACATACAGTATACAGTATGTATTTGATTGCAAAAGTACATCACTGGAGTAATCTAATTTGCTGAGTGTAATGTTATGTTTCTAACCACCTCATAAGATACTTTCACTATGAGCACTGAATAATATGAGTACAGAGAGCAGTAAGGCAACCACTATGTCAGCTAGAGTGGAGAGTGCGGTCAAGTATAAAGAGAACATCACAGCAATAATGAAATTTGCTGAGCTGAAATGTTGTTACATTTATTACCACCTCAAGCCTAACAAACATGTTCTACTCTCATTTCCTCTCCTCTTTCTCAACTCAAAGTTTCTTACCCTCTCTCTTCAGCACTCAGCCTTAAACCACCAGATTTAGCAGCTCTGAATAATTTCTTCTGATTCATTTTTTTAATTGTTCTCTTTAAATGCCTACAAGGTGACAGGATATTGTCTTTAAAGATACACACACTCATGAAATTACTGGCATCTATCAAGCCTTGAACCTGACACACAAATACAAACGTCACACACACATTAGCTACTGACTCTTCCTCTGTCAATGTTTAATAAACGTAGCGCAAGTCGGGGACGGAATATCAATTTGCCAAGATAACCTAATGTTACATCATCGTTGGTTGTATATAAAATAATGAATGTATGAAATACTGTTTGTACCTTTGTCTGCAGGTGACCATCCGGGGACAGCTGTTCCCCCACGAGGGGGGCATGGGAAAATCTAGGTTTCTTTTACCAGCAATTGGAGATGGGGGAGAGAGTTCTGATGCCACTATTATATGCTCTGTGGAAGACCTGTCTTTAGCACATTACCATCAACAAGGCTTTGACCAAGGTAAACAGTTTTGCTTCACCTATTAAACATCATTCTGTATTCTTTATTGTTATTTATGTATTATTCATGTAAAAGGGATCCATGGCGAGGGCTCTACATTCTCAACATTGTTTGGCCTTCTGCTATGGGACATCATTTTTATGGAGGGTATTCCAGATGTTTTTAGGAATCCATACCAGGTAAAGTAAACCCTATGAATACAGTATTTGTGAGATTTCAATGAAATACCAATTCAACTAATCTGCCTTTCTTCTCACAGACATGCCCGCTGGATCTTTACACTGACTGTTTCTATGAGAACAGAAAAGAGGCGATAGATTGTCGTGTGCAGTTACTCAGCGAGGCTTCTGTGGAGACTCTGCATGTCATGTTGGCGGAGGTGTGGACCTCCCATGAGGGTATAGTGTGTTCACTGGTCAACTGGGAGCGCTTCTCATCCCTGCAACAGGCACAGGTATTTATTTGTCCAGCTGGTAAATATACACATAGTGGCCACTTGAAAAATCGAATTCAAAACAAGGCAACTGCTCAGCCACAAACTCTACCTTTTAAAATAATAAACATGTTTAGATTTGATTGGCACTGTCAGCGCTGTATTAGTTTTACTTTAAAGGGGACCTATCATGCAAAATGCACTTTTGTACGTCTTTTATACATGAATATGTGTCCCCGGTGTGTCAGGGAGCTCACCAAGTGTCAGAAAACACAACCCTCTCTATTTTCCTCCATACCCAAATTTCTAAAAACGGGGCTGCAACGGAGCTGATTATTATTTGAATTTTTCTGACGGCAGAAAAGGGGTGCTCCGCCTATATGGGCAACTCTCCACCTATCAGGGGAATGAGAGACCGCTCGAAAGCGCTGGAGACGCTGTAGTACATATGCCAGGCCTGTAAGTGGCGCTGTAGTCTGCCACAAAAGCAGAATCAGCCCTTGCAAAAACAGTGCTGGAAAAGAGCAAATAGAGCGAAATGAGGCATGGCTAAAATGCATGATCTGTTTGATATTTTGAAAAAAACACTTCACAGACATGTTTTATATAGGTATGGCCCTACAATATATGTTTCAAATGTAGCATGATAGGTCCACTTTAATGTTTATTATTGAGGTCATAGATTTCAGTGGTGTTCAAATAGACTTCATATTATTGAGAGGTGTTTCTAATGTTTTGACAGCCCCATTTACAAACATGAGTTGGCAATTAATATTGGAAACACATCATTTTTATACTCTACATATCACAATATACATTATACAGTTGTTACAGATGGACAGGCCCATGTAAAGATTCAAAGTGGCCTTGATATGCTATGACAGGTTAAGTTCAAACAGATTTTGTCTACCTTTGCATGTCACCACTTTTTCTATCGCAGTCCCTTGTGTCATGCATGAGAGGAGCCTTCTTAGGAGGGGTAATAAAACGAATGGCGAAGGACTACAGACACTGCCGTGGAGGTTTGCCTGATCTAGTGGTGTGGAACACCTCAAACAACACCTACAAGGTGAGACCACACCATATGATTGATTTCTGAATTTGATATTGTTCTTTGTGTGTGGATTTTCGACACTCTGTGGTACCTGATTCCTTTACATCGATTGTACTGCAGCATGCAATGGACTGTTTCAATGTGGGCTGTCTTGTTGTTTTAGCTGGTGGAGGTGAAGGGGCCAAGTGACCGGCTGTCCCAGAAGCAGCAGATCTGGCTGGATGAGCTTCAGAAGCTGGGGGCAGATGTGGAGGTGTGTCACGTGACGGCGACAGGAGCCAGAGGAGCTCGTCTGGAATAAGCAGACACAGAGGAACTGACTGAAAAGCTGCTAATTAATCAGATTGTGGTCAAAATGGAAACATCAGCAGACAAGACTCTGGGAGAAAATATCTGGGTACTTTTTCTGATTCATGATCATCTAGAACCAATGTTCATCTCAAAAACTCACGTCATCTTCAACATGTCACAGATGTAATCCTATTTCTGTAAAGGAAGTGTGCCTTGCAATATGTGGCGTTAACCTGAGGGAAACCACTGCATCAGCGGGAAGAGGATGAAGATCACAAGATGAAGATCATCACTGAGAAACAGAAATAGATTGCCTACAGATAATTAGAGTTGATGTATGACATGAAACGAATCCAAGGTTCACACACCAAACGATGTTTTTTTTTTTTCTTCGGTTGCCAAGCAACAAAAACTCACAATTTGTTGGAAGCTTAAAGAATTGTAAGACAGCTCTACGAGATTGTATGCAAGTAATTACTGTGATAAAATAGTACTCTACCAGAGAAATGTAAGAACAAGGCTGCCATTAATGTATTAATCATATGGTTTATAAATGTCAGAAAAATGTGAATGTTCTTAGAGCCTGAGATGCTTTCTCAACATTGCTTGTTTGGTCTCATCAATATCAATACACTGTATAAAAAAAAAGTTAACTAAGAATAAAAAATAACTAAACTTTACAAAAACATATGGAGAATAATTTAATATCACTATCACTTAACTGAATCCTATATTAAGTGACAGTGGTATGGTTGAAATGAGAGTAGTGAATAATAGAAGAGTCAGCATTGCTTTGTTTACAGTGAACATCATGAATTAAACCTTATTCCCCCCAAGGCAAATTTGCTTTACACAAAGAGCATAAAGGAATATCAAAAGCACATCAACAACCATACATGACAACACATTAAGCAAGGAAAACATAAGCATCATAAAAAGTAATCAGCATATATTATTTGGTGAAGACACTTATGGTCAACAGCCTTGTGTCACAATATGAGCTAAGATAAAATAAGATTGGGAAGAATACAAATTAGACAGAGCCAGAGGTATTTGTTAAGACTTAATTTTTTAACTTTTGAGTTCAAAAGGCAGACATTTCTTTGTTTTGCATATGGAAAACGTGTATACAATTTTCTTTCATATTAGGAAATGTAATGGGGATGAACAATTTCCTACAGAGGCACCTTTGCCCCGAGGGCAGTAGCTGGAAATTATGATTTAAGGGATATTTCGCCGTTTTCTGCGCCAGTAATGGTGGAAGGAGATCTATAAACAGTGCACACATTACATTACAGCCAGGCATATTGAATGCTGTGCCTGGGCGTGCTGTAATGTATGCATTCCTGGATCATGGATGCATTTGGGGGAAGGGATGGCAAGCTGCCGTGCGTCTGACGTCATGACGCAGGAGCGAGGAGGCGATGAGAGGAAGGTGCAATAAACACACAGGGCGTCTGCGCCTATCTAAGTAGGACAATAAAGTGAAAACGGTATCAATGTTCTAACAATGGATTTGTCAGACATGCTTGTTCTTAAAGTTTTCCTGTTCGTGTATTTACTAAACCACACCCAAGGTGAGTGAGGCGTTTTGAGAGAAAAAGCGTTTCAAGTTGTGTTAAATCCATGAAGCTAAGAGGAGGGCTGGTGTTAGCTCACAGTGGATCAGCAGGGCCTGCTTGTTATGAACAGGACTGCACCCTTTTTGCCGTATTACTTCAAGCTAATAAATCATATATAGCGTAAAAGCTGACTTGGATTCGTGCTGTCGATTGAAATAAACCGGTATTGATTGGTTATTTCTGTGTGTTGTCACCGTTTTTATTGTCAGCTTTGTGTCGGTTTTGTTGTTATCGTGCGGATAGCGCCGACAGCCATTGTTATGAGAAGATGGAGATGCCGACCGGGTGTACGGACCGTTAGCTTTGTGCTAGCTAACACTTTAGCTGCTATCATCACGATTAATGGGAGGAATAAGACATGTAGCTCCTGTCATTATGTTACCTGCACAATGGCAGGGTTTACCATTTTACATGACTGACACGTTTTCGGGATTGCTGGCATCGTTTTTCTTTCTTTCCCTGCTGTCAATGCTTATGCTACTGTCACTATTCTCTATTTTACCTCAACGCTACTGTGTAGATCTATTTCATATTTGAAAAATCTGTATTATTTGTGCACGAAATTGCTCCTACGTAAAATGCTCCATTGAATTGTGATGTACCTGTCGTTATGGCATCCTGCACCTGCTGTATATCCCGCTGCTGTGCTTTTAAATCGTTTACCTGCAAAATAATGAGCTACATATGATTAACATCTTCTTATACAATGTTCATTCAGTTCATTAGGGTCCATATTTCTATTTGGCAATCAGTATACTTTTTATATTAATCTAAATTCCTTGCCAAACTATCAAAAACAGCAGTAACAACTTTTTTAATTTTTTTATTATAGGACTTCCTTTTTATTCAATGCTTATAATACTTTTATTTTCTAGTCCTTGAGAGGTAAATATATTTGAGAATAGGCTTGGCCTTCACTTCTAATTTTCACCTCAATGAAACATTTAATGTTAGCAACTAAATATTTCATACTTCACATGAAAAGAGAAACCAGCTGAAGCCTGGGTTACTTACCCCTGTTTCCTCAATAGTTGAAACACTGAATCCTATAATTTAGGCTCTCTAGAAAGGCATAATTACCTACCAGACGGTACTAATTATACTGTATTTACTGAACATACTTTCTCTATGTTAAGGGGCAAGGATGTGATCTTACAGACTCAATATGCAAAAAAAAAAAACTTACTTTCAATAGGAATTAAATGGCCTTAACAAAATTACTACCTTTGCTCGAAATGGAGTTTGTCAGATTGCTTTTGAGTGTGAAGCATGTGCTGAACGTGTGGGAATTTCTTTCCTTGGAGCCTGCCTCCTACTCCACTGGTGGCAAAATAATGATGCTGGGGGCTGTTGTTAAGCACTGCTTCAATACAGCATTTAAATTACTGAAATATAAATAGCTCAATTTAAACATGCAGACCATACTGATTTGCTGTCGGTCATCTTAATCCTGTGTGTAAAACATCCGCCTGATCTTCTATTTTTAAGGCCCCTAAAGCATCCTAATATATACCCTGCCTCAGTTACCTAGTCTAAAACCTAGCTGTTATACTGTAATGTTGCCTTTAAGATTCAAATAAAACTGTGAAATGTTTGAAAGATATTGTTGAATTAACACACATAACTAACATTGGCATCTGGTAATAATAGTCGATGTAACACTGTGGTATCAAGGCTGTTACAGGCTTATGGAATTGGATGTACGTTTTTTTTTGTTCCTCATCATATGCTTGTTAACACCTTTTCTCTGGCAAACACATGTGTTTTTGTTCATTTTCATCCATATACAACCCAAAGGACTTAAAAAGATTGGAACAGAAATCCTAGGATTGCTGTCTTGTAAACAGATTAGATTTGATCTGAATTCTCTGACATTTAATAAGGCCTGTGTTTTCGTTTTTGAATGCTAAATATGAGGTCCTCCTTTTCTTCCCCAACAGGACACTATAGAAATCCCCTGAACAAGTACATCCGTCACTATGAAGGTCTCACCTACGAAACAGAGCCGGTGCACAGCAATCATCAGAGGGCCAAGAGGGCGTTCTCTCCTGAAGACAAGTTCCTTCATTTAGATTTCCACGCCCATGGAAGGTTGGTCAATTTTCCAGTTCTAAACCTAAAGGGAAATTCAGTCTGGATCTCTGTCTGTCTTTATGTCTCCTCTTTATTCACCTGTCTGTCTGTACATCTGCACAATTATCCCTATTCCTACCTTCTTCATGATTAAAGATGGATGTAAGCTGTAGCAGAGATTTGCAGTGTGATTGACAGTTGTTTACATTTAATCCTGTTTTATTGAATCTCAGACCTGGTCAGGGGCATCACATTTGCTCCATGGTGAGGAAGGGTCAGCCTTGCTTCTGCCTGTGTCGTTTCTATGTGCTCTTTAAAGCTTAACTTATGTATCTCTTTCCAGGATATTACCTAGCATTGGTTTTAAATAATCCAACTTCTAAATTGTGAAGATTGCCTGTTGTGAACTTATCATTTCTAAGCTTGGTAATGTTGGTTGAACAAAAAATCTATTTGCCTAACAGTTCATTTAATAATTTATAAGATTAACCAGCAGAATAATAAATGATTAAAATAATTGTAAGTTGCATCCCTGGTGTGGGTTTGTTCTGATTTCCTGTCACATTTCCCTCCCTTTTTATTGTATAATAAAGTGATTACAGAACAAGTTCAGGGTCACACCAAAAGAGAAAAAACAAAGTAAGACAAGGCTGAACAACAAAAACAAAGGGGACAAGATTTTCCACAGTCTGAATACATGCAGGTCAGGTGAAGTAGAAACTGTTAATGTGTTGGTGTGCATGTTAGCCCTGTAATGGCTCTGGTGTTCCTGTTCACTTGCTACCTGGGTGGGGAAACCCTTTAAGGTATAGAATAGGGCTGCACTATATATCGTGTCATGACGATAATCGCGATATTAAGTAGGCAAATGAACTCAAACACGTCATGTTACAATTCTTTTGCTGCTTGCTACAAAAGGAAAACTCGCGCGGCTCTCATGTCAGGGGTACTTGAGTGAGTGACATGCAGGCTCTGCATGCACAGCAAACCACCGATCACAATCAAATCTCCAAAGCAAACAAACCCGAAAACACTGAATAAAGTAGTTTCATGTGTTTCTCCAGGGCAGTTCGGCGCTGCTAACCGAGCTCGCTCAGCTTGTTGCTCTGATAACTTAAGATCCAGACCTCCGTGACTAAAATCCTTTATCCGGTTAAATATAGTTAGGAAAATACCAATTGTATAGCATTTCAAGTTCAAGAAAGGATGGTTTGCGGACAAAAAAAACTGTCTTTCCTTCAATTCCTGTATTTTTTCATATCGCAATATATATCGCAGGGGGAAAAAAATCGCAATGTCAGTTTTTTCCAATATCGTGCAGCCCTAGTATAGAAGATGGATTGATGAACATATGTAGTTTTTATTATGGTTCTTCCTCCAGCATTTTGCAGAGGTGTTATTGTTTGATGGAAAGTGTCCACACTTCATGACAAAGTCAAGACCATCTGGCTGGGCTTGGCAGAGGCTGCTTCTCGTCCTGCCTGTAGCACGGCCTGCTGTTCCCAAACCGATGCTGCTTAATAGGGACAACAACGCAAAGCGCCGCGCAAGCAAACGCACAGAAGGAAGTGTCTGTTCCTTTGAAAAGCAGAAATGTGCCGGCTTCTTTTTCTTTTGAATTCATGACAAAGCTGGAGACACAACTCCTATTTAATTTGCAGCACCCGATCCACCTTCCCTTTACTTGTACAGTGTAAAAACATGTTCTAAGATGTATATATAACTTACATTTTCTTTTGTGATTTAAGTCATACCAGAAAACAATGGTGGTGCAATGGATTCATTCAGATCACCAGATGTATTTGTAATTAAGTCAAGTTTGACTCTAAATTGTACAAAAACCCTGCTTTCTTGCAGATACTTTGCAGTTAAAAGTCTGAACTACAGAACCGTAACCTTTACAGTATACTAAGAACCAAAAAGAGCACTGTTAGGTGTTACAGGAAATCCTAGGTTTGCTGTAACACCTTTTGTTTCTCTGCTTTGATCAACAAAGAACAGCATTGTTTCAAGATGTCCCATTTCCCCCTCTCTTACAAGATAAGACAGCAGTTTCCCTTCTGCAACAGAAAGCACCTCAGATGTTTTTCTCTGGCAAACCATGCCTTCCCTTTCACCCTTTTTCCCCCTTTAATTTGCATTTTCCTTCTCCTCAAAGACCGGGTGGATATTACTACCTCCCAAAGAGAGGCCAAATTTAGATCCACACCCAAATACAAAGGCTCTCACTGTGTGACATGAATGCAACGGTTTAAAGAAACAAACTTCTTCCAAAATAGATAACGCTGTTGTTACCTCCTTCATTACATTAATTTGCTTTTTTTTTTTCTATTCCCTGAAGTTTAATTTATTTTGATTTCAGGCATTTCAATTTACGGATGAAAAGGGATTCCACCTTGTTTTCTGAAGATTTGAAGGTAGAGGTTTCAGGAGATGAGGTTCCATTTGATACCTCTCATATCTACACCGGAGAGATCTACGGTGAGACTGATCTTGTTTTCTTTAATATACTTGTTTTAATATAAGCTACAGTGATGCTTGATCTTGTGTGAATCCTCTGACACCTTCACCTCTGTAATTTGGATTCCCAGGGGAGAAAGGCACCCTGACTCATGGCTCCATTGTGGATGGTAAGTTTGACGGCTTCATTCAGAGCTACCAAGGCACCTACTACGTGGAGCCTGCTGAGCGATACCTGGAGGACAAAGACGTTCCCTTCCACTCCGTCATCTACCATGAAGACGACATACGTGAGTCCCCTGCAGCCACACAAATACTGACAGGATGTAATCCTCATGTAATTGGATGCACGCATATGTAAATGTGTGATCGGGAAGTGCAAGGTTAGGGCAGCTGAGAGGATGGAGGCAGACTGGTGTGATCGCCCCCCAGGGAGCAGAGAAACCCGCGGTGCTCATTAGCGGAGTAACACGATCCTTCTCTCAGGCTCATTTTAGCACTCTTACCAATGTTGGTACTTATAGTGAGCACTAGGCATACTTCATTTCACTGGCACCCCCTAATTTCACATCATCTGTGTACATATAGTATGTAGCTGAGGGGCAAATTAAACAGAAATGTGAGAGGAATCGCTAATAAGAGCGACAAAGAAAGTAACGGCTCACTTGGCAAAGCTAGGCTCAAGTGGCGTGTAAGCACATCCATTAGCTGATCATGAATAGCAGCAGAAATAGAGAGACTCAGGGGGTTAAGTAGCTAACATTGTCTTCTATAATCCTAACTGTGTTGTGTCTGCCTCTCTCTCTCAGACTACCCGCACAAGTACGGCCCGGAGGGAGGCTGCGCTGATAGCTCCGTGTTTGAAAAGATGAAGAAGTACCAAGCCTCGGCCGTTCGTGAGCCACCCAAGGTGAACTTCACCACACACCACAGTAAAGCCCAACAGACTCTATTAAAGGGATATGAATATCTTCGTCAGGGTCAGAGATAACTATGAATACTCTCTTTAAGTCTCTGTAAGCACTGTGGATATATTGACTTGTGAGAATAGCTTTTGTACTTTCTATTTAAATATGGAATTTATGCAGAAATCATTATGAACACACTGCAGCTAAAATCACAGCCTAAAAAGACCAGACATTATTTATTCATCCCATGTTTAGATGGAATATACACATATATATGTTTTATTTAACTGCCCATTTCCTACTCTCCATCTCCTTTCACCAGGAGCTCCACACGGAGGCGGGCTCTAATGACCCGGTGCTGCTGAGGAAGAAGAGGATGGTTCAGATTGAGAAAAACACCTGCCAGCTGTTCATTCAGACCGACCACCTCTTCTTCAAGTACTACAAGACCCGGGAGGCTGTCATCGCTCAGGTCAATTACTGTCACTCACTTTACACATGCTACTTATCCATATACCTGATACCATAACTGTGCTCTATAAGAGAAGTTAATGTTGGGAAGGGTTAGTTTGTAAAGATACAATAAAAATGTGAAAACATGATGTTATGATTATTTTGCACCAAGCACAGATATTTTAAAGGGAGCTGTTGGTAAAAAGGAGACATTGCTGTTGTTGTAGGTGTAGTTAATTTGTAATTTCTTACTCTTTCAGATCTCCAGTCACGTCAAAGCTATCGATGCTATCTATCAGGGAACAGACTTCATGGGCATTCGCAACATCAGCTTCATGGTGAAAAGGATCAGGGTAAGTCTCAGGCTGATTTTAAGTTTTGATTTCATTTTTAAGCCCCTTTCTCCCTCTGAACTCATCACTATCATCCTATTCTGCAGATCAACACCACCAGTGATGAGAGGGACCGGTCCAACCCGTTCCGCTTCGCTAACATCGGCGTGGAGAAGTTCCTGGAGCTCAACTCGGAGCAGAACCACGACGACTACTGCCTGGCTTATGTCTTCACCGACAGAGACTTTGATGACGGGGTGTTGGGTCTGGCCTGGGTCGGAGCCCCTTCAGGTACTAAAAGACAGTCCTCTATGACCAGGAGCTGCACATAATTGTCTTATTCTTAATAATGCAATATAATTATAATATTCCTTATGCAAGGTTGTGTGCACAATGTCACAAAATACTCACAATCTTGGTTGAATATGGGATTATTCTAAAAAGGAAACAGAGTCATTTAATTGTGTTGTATCTAAATGGCATATTGCAGCAACACCATGAAAAGTGTCAGTGGTATTTGGGATTGCAAATGCTGATTGATTCAGACTGTTATGAGAACCAAGCAGCTTCAAATACCAACTCCGACAATATGCAGATGGGATGATTCCCAAAGGTTTCATTACGGCCCCTTGCCATTTATCCGTTGCACTCTGTAACTCAGATGTTTTCTGTGCTACATTCTTAATTTGAAGTTCTAACGGAGAAATATTGCACTGTTGAAATCTTTAATTTACTTTTGGAGTTTGTGTGTCTTCTGGTGGCAATGAAAAACAATTTAAATGTAATATTTTCTAACAAATCACTGTCATTATGTTGAGAAGTAAGGCATTAAATCATCCGGATTAAAAAATGGTCATGACATTAATCAGATTCTCCCTCTCTAATGAGCTAATGTGATTCATGTTTTGTTGCTCTGGTTTTTAAGAAGTCTTGCTCCAACTTGTGCTTTTCTTTCCCAGGGAGCTCGGGAGGCATCTGTGAAAAAAGCAAGCTGTACTCTGATGGGAAAAAGAAGTCTCTGAACACTGGTATAATCACTGTACAGAACTATGCCTCCCACGTACCTCCAAAAGTCTCCCATATCACTTTCGCACATGAAGTAGGACACAACTTTGGCTCCCCGGTGAGTGACTTAGATGTGCCACTCTTATGCCTGATGGAAATTAATTCATTAGTCTCGCAAACTTTTTTTCCCTTCTGCTTCTTACCCGGTTTTTTTCTCTCGCATTCACAGCATGACTCTGGATCTGAGTGCACTCCAGGAGAATCCAAGAGCCAAGACAAGAAGGAGAAGGGCAATTATATTATGTATGCAAGAGCCACGTCGGGAGACAAGCTCAACAATAATAAGTTCTCCATCTGCAGCGTGCGCAACATCAGCCAGGTGCTGGAGAAGAAGAGGGGAAACTGTTTTGTCGGTACGTTTTACTGTTTTAGTTCTGATCTTGTTTTCCTGTACTAATGTGTTGGGGACATTTTAAACCCAGTGCCCCATTTTCTGATTTCATTCAGGCAACTATCTGGCACCAACATATCGGCTGGTAACAGCTTTGAAAAGCAACCTTGGCGTTAGTCCAGGACTATTTTTAACCACAGTTGTTGGCATGTTGTGGAATTTTTTTGCTTTTAGGATATTTTTGTGTCACACTTAATCCAACTGTCAAATCTGAAGAATAGAATACGTGTAATATTTACTGTATATAGCTTTTGAAAGCTTAGCTTATTTTGCACCTGATGTTTTGTAGCCTCCATCTTGGCGGATGTGACTTGAAAAATATTAGCTTGTGGTGAACGCCTCAACCTTTGACACCTGTTCTGTGTTATGTTGTTGCCTTTCCTCAAACAAACAAAAAAAGGTCTGTTTGAGTTTATTGTTGCATTCAAGGGTCTGTTTCTATTTGAAGAGTTATATTTGTTGCAGCAACACATTGTCCTCAGAACAATATTTGTTTGGCTTTGTAATGAGACCGTTCTCAAACACTTTTATCCTTCAGTGCAAGAAGTCAAACCACGAGACATGTTCCAGTCTTCGGGGACCAGCCTCAATGTTTGTTTTCCTTCCCCAAACAGAGTCTGGTCAGCCCATCTGTGGTAACGGCCTGGTGGAGCCCGGGGAGGAGTGTGACTGTGGCTACAGCGACCAGTGCAGGGACCAGTGTTGCTATGACGCCAACCAGCCTGACAACAAGAAGTGCAAGCTAAAGCCCAACAAAGTCTGCAGGTAGGATTTCGCTTTTGACCATTTTGAAGTTTCATAAGGAAAATCTGGCAGCTCCTTTGTGATCATCGTTCACCAAACCCTTCTCTTTCCCACAGTCCCAGTCAGGGTCCCTGTTGTACCCGAGAGTGCTCCTACAAGGGTCGTAATGAGAAGTGTCGAGAGGAGTCGGAGTGCGCTCACCAGGGCATGTGTAACGGGGTCGGCCCTCAGTGCCCCACATCTGAGCCCAAGGCCAACTTCACGGCCTGCCACGGAGAGACCCAAGTCTGCCTCAACGGGGTGAGTGGCTGCAGACTTCACACCTGGGAGAACCGGTTGTTATAGCAACTTTATTTCCATACCAGTCAGCGTCTGATCTGGCCTGTCCTCATGCTCCTCCCCCGCAGGGCTGCTCCGGATCCATCTGTGAGAAGTACGGGCTGGAGGCCTGCACCTGCGCCAGCCTCGATGGCAAGGATGAGACGGAGCTCTGTCACGTGTGCTGCATGGAGAAGAGTGAGTCATTTACCCTTTTGGCTTTTTTTTAATATAATGTGCTGTCCTTTTCATTTAAATTGAGTTGACTGTCTGTGATTCATCTCCGCAGTGAATCCCAACACGTGCAGCAGCACAGGATCAGAGCGCTTGTCTCGGTTCTTTAATAAGAAAGTGACCACGCTGCCAGCCGGCTCCCCCTGCAACGACTTCAAAGGCTACTGCGACGTGTTCATGAAGTGCCGTCTGGTCGATGCAGACGGCCCGCTGGCCCGGTTGAAGAAGGCCATCTTCAACCCAGAGCTCTATGAAAACATTGCCGAGTGGATTGTGGTGCGTATCAACGTCTTTGATTCTGATTGGACGGTTGGAGGGGTGTTTTTTTTTTTTTTTGACTGTGCTTGATTTGTGCTTGTTTCTCTTCTCCAGGCCCATTGGTGGGCGGTGCTGCTGATGGGCATCGCCCTCATCATGCTCATGGCCGGATTCATCAAGATCTGCAGTGTGCACACTCCGAGCAGTAACCCCAAACTTCCTCCTCCCAAACCTCTTCCAGGTGAGTCCACAGATTTACACACAGAGTTCATTAAACCAGAGGAAATTAAACATTTTATTTATAAATGTTTTGTACATGGTGTGTATTTAACATCTGTTTAAAGTCAATTGAGAACAGTTAACCTGTATGTAGCACCTGCATTTCCACGGCACTGATGTTCATTTACAGTTGTGGGGTTGTTGTACTGAAGGTGTTTTTGATATTGTGTCCATCCCTTGAAAATAAAACGTATTTGTAATTGCATCTGTTTAGTCTTATGCATAGTTAAAAAAGAAACTATGAAAAACAGGCAGTGTAACTGTTAGACACTAAATACTGAAGTGCCAGTAGCTGTTAATGGGTAAAGGATCAAATTGTCAATAAATAAGATCAAATGCTTTGACTCACAAATACAAGTAAGGATACCAATGGTCAGAGAGTTTTGGAAACTCTTTCCTGAGAGCAATTGTAGGTTTCGCCACTCAGCGTTTTAACTTGATGTTTTAAGTAAGGCCAAAATTCAACTCAAGATTGATTCTGACATGTTTGCACAGGATAAAAGGCAGCACTATAATCAGAATAATCGGCCTCACTGTTAGCCCCCTACATGAAAGTGAACAGTCAGTTTGAGTGATTTATTTCACATTTTTCATTCAGTTCTTTCATTTTCTCTGACTGAATCTTTTTCCTCATGCAACACACATTTGAGGTTTTGTATGAAAGGCTTTCAAATGACAGACCTCGAGTCTCAGGAGTTTAGAAACATCTTCTTTATTGCCATACTAGCGAATGTGAGAAAATTACCCAACTGTGGGTTTGTGCTGTCAAAGGAAAGACGTAGAAGGTAATTAAAAAGAAAATGGGGTCAAACCGTACAATTTAGAGCTTCAGCAAACATTAGAGCTTACTATGCTCCCGTCTCATCATCTGACATGCCTCCAAAATGATTAGCGTACTTTCTGACACAGACAGCGAGGCAATTTCACTTGACTCATCTCTCACAATGTGACATGCAACGAACTCACACGATGGTTGTTACTGCAGTGCAGGCATCAGGAGTGTCAGTAGGAGCAATTTTAGCTTGGAGTAAACGCACAAAAACTCCTTTTGCAACCAGCAGATTCTGCGGAAAACGGAGATCATTCTGGCCTCTCCAGGGGCCTCATTTATAAAGCCTTGCGTATGATTGGCGTGGGAAGTTTGCTTACATAGGACAAAGCAAATAAATACGCACCGACACTTTCCGATTCATAAAAGACTGCGTACCGGCACAGGACTTGCGTACGGCACATCCTACGCCGGTTTCCCTTTTTATAAATCACAATCAACTCGAAATGCGGCGCAGCTTTTGCGGGCTTCACGTAACGCCCATATTTGCCTATAAATAGTCAAAGAAACGCCCATTCATTCATTCATTGTGACTGACTGCATGAAGAAGATCGCAGGAAATGACGACAGAACAGCTAAAAAAGACATCTCACACCGTGTCAGATTTTGGTTATTGTGGGGAGGTCGAGATAAATCATATTGTTTGGTGGATGCAGTTTGAACCAGAGTAGCAGCATGGAGGTCGGATCGTCACCAAAATAAATAAATAAGTGGTCCGAAAAAGGTTAATGACAAAAAAAATACACATAGCCTAACCTTCCTCAGGCAGTGTGTTTGTCCCGGGGACAGGAGACACCCCCTTGATGAGAAACTGTAAGAAATGATCGGGGAATCCCTCCGGAGTGGAGTCATGACGACTGGATCTGAATTATTTTTTTGTTTTTGGTGGTTTGTGTTCCAGCTGTCGATCAGCAACTATATATCCATAATCCACCAGTTAAAGGAAATACAACTAATGTGTTGTGTTAGTTTCCATACCTCCTGTGTTTTACGAGCGACTTATCAAGTAGGCTATTGGCGAACGGCATAAAACATGATTAAACATGATAGTATATAAAACCATGCTCGTATCTATACAACCTATAGAAATGCAAAACGGCGTCAGTTTAAAGTAATTATATCCTTCTGTTTACCGCATCATTTATGAGAATACATTTCTTAACAAGAACATAATCGAGGGGTGATCAATAACATTTCCGTATTTATTTATTTCTCCAAGTTATGTTTTTGTGTGCACTTAAGATTGGCTTTAATCAATTTGTGAAAAGGAATTCTTCATATTTGATAAATGAGAGGTAACATTCTATTTATGGTATTATTTCCACATATTTCTCTCCATTCTTCCTTCTGCCAACGGTGTCGCAGTTTCTCGTCTCTCCCGTTGTTGTGCTTAGTGCGTACGCATGGGTTAGAGTTTGCGTGGAGGACCGCACATTTTCCCGTCAAGTTTGTTTTTTATAAATCGTAAACATTGCGTAGAAACTGGCGTACGCCATCTTTTGAGCGTACGCACCGTTTATAAATGAGGCCCCAGGTCATGTTCTTGCAGATGAATTTCATCTGTTGCCATCAGGGCGTAGATATGCTCTACCTGCTCTTAAGACACATCGCTTTTCTAAATCATTCATCCCCTCTGCACTGAAACGTTTAAATTCTTGATAGGTTTTTTAACTTGATTATTTATTTACTTATTTATTGTGATGCTATGAACTATTTATCGTGTAAATTGGAATGATCCACATCCAGGCCCCCGGGGGTATCTGTGTGCTTTCTTCCTGCACATGACATAATCTGCTCATAACCAATTGCCCCTTGCAGGATTAATAAAGTGGTTGATTGATAGATAAAATCTGTCTTCTAACGAGCTCACATTACTGCCTTTCCCCCCCCCCCCGACAGGCACTCTGAAGCGGCGGCGAGCGCAGCAGCAGGCTAACGCCCAGGTGCAGAACCAGTCCCAGCACCCGCACGGCCACCAGCATGGGGGGGGGCAGCGGCAGCCCCCCCGGCAGCCCCAGCGCCAGGCACAGCCGCAGAGGAACCACCGCCAGCCCAGAGAGAACTATCAGATGGGCCAGATGAGACGCTGAGACCCCGCCCCCCCCCTCCCCCCCCCCCCCCCCAATGCCTTGGCTCCTCCTTGTGCCTACAGTGGGAAAACAAAAGCGTCACTCCATCCAAAGAAAAAGCCTGACATGGTTGTTAGTCGTCATCATATCCTCCATTTACAGACAAAAACAGACACGCGTGAAAAAGAGAACACAACTATCTAGCAACTCGATTGGCTCTTTGAGGAGTGGACTCGACCATCAGCCATTTCCAATGCAGTGCGATCAAGCATCCTTTTCCACCTTTTATTTTTCTTCTGTTTAAGGAGTGCCAAGGAGTTAAGGAATCATGTGTAGCTTTAGTACATTCTGTGATGTGTTTTTTGTTTTATTGCAACGTCTTCTTGAGTGACACGCCCGTGGCTGCTGGTGAATTGTTCCGTGATTTTTCTTTTTTTTTCCGCCATTCTAGCCAGGAATGAGAGACACTCGGTGGGGATTTGCGGCACTTTTGTGATTTACACATGTCAAACGGCAAAAGACACAGGCTCCGGTCTCTCGTGCAGACCGCCTTCTGCATGTGACTGTACATATTTAGTGTATCATAAGTGAAAACAAACTATTTCTTCTACTGTAAATGTGTAATTCTTCACTTTTCTTTTATTCTTCGGTTAGTGCTCTCAGGACTCTTAACACGTAAATGAAGGAATGATGGTTGTGAAGAGTTCCTTGGACGTTGCTGTTGAGGATTTGGCGCCATCAAGTTCTCTTCGCAGTCGTCCAATCAGGTGGATCTCTTTCACTTTCGTTAGATTGATAGATTTCCAATTTGGGTCACCATATCCCACTTTTCAGGCCTTCTTTGTTCAAGGTCCCTTTTTTCATCTTTTTTTTAGTTTTTTGTATTGTCTTGCTAACATCATGTTTTGCTCATGTTGTGGAACAAGCCGAATGAGGTGAAGAGTCATGGGAACAGAAAGGGAGGATCACCTTTTATTGTCTTTACCGAATTGTTTTTGATGAATAATGAAATAACCACTAACTGAAGCTGAGGACGATTCTACCTGCTCAGATATGAAGACGAGGGAGAGGCTGCTGTGGCTTAGTTTAGAAGTGAGAGTGTATCATGTTACAGAGTTAGTTTACATGAGTGTGGAAATAAATTGAAAAACGACTCCGGTGTGGATGTTCAAAAAAAATGTGAGATCAAATCATTCTATTATTCTTCAGATAGCCAATCTAAGAATTTGTCAATGTGGGCATGCAGACACATTTATTAAATGTGACTTTTAATTGACCAAGGTCTGTAATACTTGTATGTCACGCAACACTATTTCCTTTGACAGCTATTAATGTGAGTCTTAAAACCAGTGGAAGGCGCCGTGTAACGCAGCAGTTTTGTCGCACTACTCACACATCTCCTCAGTGTGGTCACTAGTTTCACAAGAGGCAAGCTGCTGCTTTTTATTTCTTATTTAAACTCACCTGCAGTTTACTCCCGCTCAGATTTCATTACGGACTGAATCCCCTTAAGAGCTCATGAGTGCCGGCCTCCATTTACATCAGTGTGCTATAAAACTTTAAACAGCTGATCTTTTGTGCACAGGTTTTGTAAAAACACCGTTTTCAGGAGCCAGTGAAAATGGAAAGCAAGAAGGAGAGGTGATGGGTTGTTGTTGGACTTTCAGACCTCAGGTGTTTCCATCCAACCTTAGTGCGGCACAGCATGAGGGGCAAATGACAACATGATTATACTAAGCAAAAAATATTTGATATTTTGTGCAAAATGTCATGTTTTACTTGCCGATAAAACATTTCTCCCACCAAATAGGATGTGGCGAGTGGGTGAAAGGTTAGCTATAGACATATTTTGCATAATATGTGTGGCAAAGGACATTTATTGCTCTGACTTTATTTTACCCTAGCAGTATAATTTTGAATTGCATGCAATACTAATCACAACTAATATCTTGCAACACTGTCCTGATGGTTGTAACATTCACACATGTGCTCTGGAGGGGACATATTAATAACGTGTCTCACGGTTTGACGCGGCAGATGAACTAGGCAGGTCTGCGGTCGCTATAACGTCTCATGTCTGTACAAAGTGGAGCTCTTTTTAAATTTCATCTACATGTAAACTTGTACAGTACTTCGAAAATGTGCATTTCATTTGAAAATGGAAAAATTACATTTTGATACATCAGTTTGATTTTTTGTATTCTAATTCCAGAGTAAGTTGTTCAAAGATGTTCATATGTGACAAACTTTCCTCTCTAAGTTATTTATGTTCTTATATGTGCTAATTGAACTGGAGTTTGCTTTTCTCCACCATCATCAGTGGTAAAAACAATTCAGGGTGATGGAGTAAATGTTACATTCTCATTTCTGTCTTTGTTCTCCTGTGGCATGGTTTGGGTAGAAGAGCAGAAGAATAATGCCTGTAAATTTACTTTCTTTTTAATTTCGTAGTCTTGGTAAAGTTTTTAGATAAACGTGCACTGAAAATGTCCAAATTGAGTTGAAATGTTGTAGGTGATGTAGGCCGAAAGAACACGATTAAAAAGTAATACTACTGTCTGATTTTAATGTTCACTGTGTTTTATACAGTATCGGAATTTTTTGTTCACTTTGAACATTTTTACTAAAAAAAAATTTCAAATTGTATTGTGCAAAGAGATGTAATTTTTGGAGTACTTGAAATGCATTAATTAAAAGACTCGTTCAAAAATAAAATAGACCCCTGTTTACTGTCCGTAATGTGTGCTCTGTTTTTCTATTTTAATTTGTAGTATATGCTGAGGATTAATTCAGAGGAGTTTAAAATGGCACAGATTTTACAAATGGAAATCAGTTTTTTTTTGTTTTCGTTCAGTTATAAATGTCATCTGAATCTCGTGGTGATTTCAGTGGAGTTGTTTCAGATTGTGCTTGTGATCTAAAACGCAAAGTCTGCAACCTTTACTATTGTACATTCAACTTGTTTTTGTAACATAATGTATGAATGATTCTAGCTGACAATGTTTTCTCAAAATAAATAGAAAAAATGCATCAAATGTTTATAAAACCAAGGGTCAGATTTATAACATCCTCCTGTTTTGTTCATAAAGTTTTCCGTGTGACCAACGAGGATTTGGATTACACGTTTCTTTTTTGATCCTTAGATTGACCATACAAAGGGATATATCATGAGTTATATTGAATTTCAATTACATAATATTGACCTGCAACTTGTTATTAAAGGCAAGGCAAGTTTATTTATATAGCACCTTTCAACACAAGGTAATTCAAAGTGCTTTACCAAAATGAAAAACATTAAGAAAATGGCATTTAAAAACTGTCATTAAAAAGCAAAGATAATGAAATAAACATTAAAAGAACAAATTCATGAATAAAAGTTACAGTGCAGTTTAAGATATGAATATATCAATTAAAAGCAGGCCAAAGGCGGGATGGATCATCCTCATATTGGATTTTGTCATTATACTTCTTGCATTATAAAGAAGTCTGAGGTTTAAAGAAGCGATTTGAGGATAAGACCCCTTCTTCCCTTTTATCTTTCAATTTAGTATCTGATGAATAATGTTTGCCTTATAATCTAGCCCTCTCAATACTGTTGCACTTTTGAATAATAATAATAGGTTAAATTTGTATAGCGCCTTTCAAGGGACCAAAGGCTGATTAAACTTATTGACGGCTTTTCCGGGAGTGATGACGTTCACTGCATTGGAAAGTGTATGTCCGATCCTGGGAGCACGCATTTGCACATGCAGTGGAAAGTGGCCAGCCATTGATTTTCAATGCGGATCCTCAGCTGTGTCAACCACAACAAGTTGACGTTCAATATTTTCTAGATAATGCAGGCGGTGAGTTGTATTGCAATATCTACAAACTCAGATATATACAAAACATGTCTCTGAAGTGTTTGGCTCGAAATACCAAACAGATCATTGCAGCATCCCATAATCCTCTCTGTTTCAGCCCTGTTTCAAAAGTGCTGATTCTCTGTCTGTTACTTCAGATGAAAATAAGGAGCCACTCCCCACGCCCCTCTGAGAGATATTTGGTTAAAAAGAACACAATGGTGCTCTAGGAGGAGATTCAGGTGATAAGGTGGGGGGGGGGGTTACCTTGGTTGGTTATTGGCTAATGGTTACACAAGCCAAAACATCGTTATGACATAAAGTGGCCAAAATCTGATCAGCTCATTTTCAGACTGGTTTTTGTATAAATGGATCAGGACAAAAAGTGAGCGAATCTCAGAGGGGACGCATGTTTATGTATAAAAGACATAGAAAATGGATTTTGCATAATCGGTGACCTTTAAACTGATGCACCATTCCATTTTCTCTTACCTCTCCAAGCTGATGTCCCTGTGTGCCTTTAAACAATGACCCTGCAGAGAGGACAATGGGACTGCTCTGTGTTTCTGCTGTTAGAGTTTCAGCTCGGTGCGAGGAGCTGACGCCACACACAGAGGAGCGAGCAGCACCTTTTGTCTCTCCTTGCAGTGACAAAGCATCATTGTAAAAACAGGCACCCAGGGGCGTCACCCGCACTGAACTGAGTGACACTCGCTTCAACACTCAGCTGACCCTGAACACACCATCATACAATATAACTACCAGTTCAGTGTCCAGCCTCACATAATGCTCACTAGATTCTCAAAGCACAGATATTTAACAAATTATAATTTAACCAATAATTATGTGTCCATTGATGTATTTACTTTTAGTAACAATTGAGAAATAGTTTTAGGTATACTTGTTCATTTCCAGATGTTTTGTAATGGATTAAAAAGTGGAATAATTGCAAGTATAAAGTTGTATAAAAACAATCTCAGAAGTACATTAAATGTATAGTTAATACAGGCAACAGAGTGAAGGCAAGTTCACAGAACAACACATTATAAATCGTACTTGAGGTCATTTAAGGTAACATTAGCTAGAAACGGAATTCCTTGGGCTGAACTTATTTGGTGTGTTCATATGATTTCACAAAGACAAGAAAATGCTATTTAACAGACCCAGTTCTCAGCAGACTCTGTGGGATTTTCTCACAGTACTTTTTACAGCGGCAGAATCAGCATCCCACATCATCCAAACCCTTGGTAAGGTGTGAGATGAGAGATGTGCTCCATGTATACAATCGTGCAATGTATACACGACATGGACAATAATGAGATTTCTACTTTGACCCTCAGGCTAAACGCGTCGTGCAGCTCGCTAATTCCTTAAATTAATTTGATCAAGTACTGCCTAAGTGCAATTTTGAGGCCCTTCTAGTCTACTTGTGTATTTCGATCTTGTGCCGCTATCAATCTCAACTCCATTTAAGAGATACATGTTGTGGTTTAGCTCCATTTTATATAACACTTTCTATTATTATGATTTAATACAAAGAACACATGACAAGCCTCTAAAATATAAAGATTTAAATAAACAGCTGTAGAACTTAAAGATACGTGGACAGTGCATCTGCAATAATAATCCACTATGTTAATAAAACAACACATGGACTGCTAAGTAAATACTTCTACTTGTGATACTTTAAGTACATTTTTCTGTGAATACTTCTGTTCCTCCACTTAATTCATGTTTCACTGTGCGTTACTTCACTTGGCTTTCACTGTGCACTATAATAATTGTGACACTTAGTAGTTGTTTCAAATTCTTTGATTTAAAGGGGCCCTACCATGCTAATTTTCAGTTTCATATTTGTATTTTGTGGCTTTACAGTAAGATGTGTACATGCTTTAATGTTCAAAAAGCTATTTATTTTTCTCTCTTTTCACCCTCTGTCTGAAATCAGAGCCCAGTCTTCTCTGATTGGTTAGCTGGCCTATCACATACAATGTGTTGAAGCAATAGAAGCGTTAGTGGTACATAGTGATGTCACTGTGTTACATAAGAACACAAAGGAGTCCAATAGAGGCATTTCAGGCGCGGGGGGGAGAGAAACTCCCTCTGGGGCAAACACAGGGATTTTAGCCTTTGCAGACCATTTACATGCAGAACAAATTATATAACATACTCCAGGAAAGGGAAAACCCCAACAAGCATACTAGGACCTTTTTAAAGGACCTCACATTCTCTGTTTTAAGGTGGGAAGACATCTTATTCATGCTCCAGTTGGAAAGTTGTACAAGCAAATATGTGCTTTTTAGATTTAGATGCTTTTTTTGTGGATGACAGGAAGATTTATAATGTGTTATATGTATCCGCATTCCTTATATAACTTCAAAATCAGAGGTACCGCCTAGAGTTCGACTTCAAAACAGACATCTCACTGTGACTCAAATCCTCTTTAATATGTACAAGGACATTAACTGGAGTTATCAGCTAATACAGGCAATACTAATAAAGGCATAATGCACTGGGCTGACACTGAGAGGTGTAATCATCCTCTGCAATCATAACTAAAAACAAATGATCCATCTCTCGTGTGGGTCCAATAATAGTTGAAGGTGTTTACACTAATAGACTAATAAATGTACTGCTGGTGAGGTTTCCTGCACAGATTCATGCCTGCCGTTACTGTCCTCTCTCCCTTTATGACACAAGCCGACATAACAATCTAAGGGACGTTTGACAAGGTAATGGTGTAAATGCTGAGATGGGAATTACATAAACAAATTGTCAGCTTTACTGCAGTTTTCAGTGATCCCTGAAGTGAAATATCTGTTATGAAATTGATATTTGTCGAAACTTTAATGTAGACAAAACAACACAGATCAAAACACAATAATTAAGAAAGCATAGAAGGGAGGATTCCTCTTGGTTTGCAAAAGAAGAAAACAATAATAAGTTAGAACAACAGAAAACAAAAGTAGATATACAGAGAATAACAACACAACCACTGGTGTAAACAGGGAGCAAAACTAAAAGGAGATTGACAGGGATATACATCTACTAGTTCAGTATCAGATGTATAGTTTATCCAAATAAAGGGTCTAATATCTATAATACAGTATTTACAACATGTGTATGTTAACAATGTGAAGCCCACAGGACTGAGATCTATGTGCTTATGAAACATAAAACATAAAAAGTTATATTTCAGAGGAGACAGTCCAGTATTTGGTGTGGACACAGAGGAAACCTCCGTACAGATGGACGCTGAGTGCAGATTAATTTGACCAGAAAGTCCTGAAAGTCTTTTTGTTTTTAGCTCATGGTGATCATCTCATATTTGTCCTTGATGCTGTTCCCCTCATCATCCTCTTCCTCCTCTTCCTCCTCTTCCTCCTCCACCTCGTGGGTCGGCTCGGGCTCGGCGCGGGGGTGGTGCAGCTCGATGAACGCATAGTAGACGACGGCGGCGACCACCCCCCCCACCATGGGCCCCACCACAGGGATCCACCACCAGTGGTTTCCGGTGCTGCGGTGGGAAAAGGAAAAAAAGTTAAATAAATCTGTGGCAGTCAGAGGCCACTGCAGGTCAGGGGCCACACCGGATCATTCACAACCATCGACTTCCTGTCAAGCGCATGTGACGTTATGTAACACCGTGCTTCGTGTCAGCAGCTCGCATGTTCATCAGTAGACAGGGTGACAGCTCATAAACGATAGATATACAATTATTAACTGTCTCCTGTAACAAACTCTCAAATGTAATTTTGGGCTAAATTAAGTTCAAATCTATTTCTTTAAAAAACATAACTTACTTATTACACCTATATACAAATTACATCCTGGTTAAGTTTGACAACCAAACCAACAATACAAACAGATAAACATCATATTACAGCAAAAAACTTATCTCTCTCAAAAAGAGCAATTCACAAAATGCCATTATAGACATCATGCATACTATTTAGTCTATATAGTCTATATGCTTACTCAAAAACTATTTAGTTAATATAAATATGTGGGTTTATAAAATGATAGGTGTTCCCTAGAGATGTAACATATTTTATACAATTTTTTTATATTTCTTATTTATACTTTTTTTCTTTTAAAGAATTATCTCATATGGCTTTTCCTTAATTCATAAATGTAATACGTTTTAAAATAAAGGCATACAAAATAACATGAAAAATGTATGTGTGCGTGCATGTTTTTGTTATGTGAAGGGGTTTCCATTTATAATTACTTTTGTTGAGTGGCTGTGTGTTTGCTTGTATATTACTGTGGTCTCATATGTATGCAGTGATGCTACCAATGTTCTATTCATGTGTATATTTTCAGATGTTGTCTTTAAAAGTGTAATGAAATTAGCTACACAAATACAATTGCCACTCTAACTAACATAAGGCTCTTAGGGTCTGTACACAGTTACCTGAAGACCTCCATCCCCCATCCTGCTACGGCTGTGAAGAGCCGGGGGCCCAGGTCTCTGGCGGGGTTCAGGGGGTACCCACAGTTCAGCCCCATGGACACACCGATGGCCATGATGATCAGACCGATGGCCAGCGGCTCCACGCCTTTAGGAGCTCCGATGTTCCCGTCGTCAATGATAGCCAAAATACACAGCACCAGCATGCCCGTCCCCACCACCTGCAGGAGAGGAATGGCACTCGTTTGGTCAACTGGAAATTAGGCAGGTCAGGGATAAAAACAGAAGTAGTATTTTATGTAATTCTGTTTCTTTGTTACTTTAGTTGAAGTGTTTTGCCTTCTCCTATTCCTACTACTGTTTTTTGAGAACTCTTGGTAGAAAAATGCGTGAATGTCTTTGTTAACATATCATATATTTCATAACAATTGTGTTGGTTTTAAATAATATTTGTAGAGATAATGTGTATAAGTTTTAGGCTGTATTGGGAACACTGTTATCACATTTGCCACATTTCTGTTTGCCATGTATATAAATGTTATGTTCATAAATGTTGTATGTGACGGGCCTACGGATGGAAATTAGCTCAAAGCTAAAATCCGGCTCATTTACATTTGAAAGCATTATTTTGTTTAAAATGTTCATTGATGTGCACTGTCCCGGTTCAAATAAACGATTAAATAAATAAATAATAAAATGTGTTTAGCACATGATTCCCTCTGTAATATTAATCATTTAATCTTGATGGTTGAATAAAATATGGTTTTAACTAATATTTATATTTAGTTAGCACAACCTTTACAGCACAACTGATTTTCAAAAGTTAATACTAATATGATCGCTCTGCACAATCACACTGATAAGACTTATCTCAGTGGTTCACCTGATGGGTTTTCATCAGTTTTGAGCTGTTAGATGTGTTATCTGTGGATCGCTTCACACACTAATGGTGTTAAGTAAATAATTGACCTTCCAGATAAGGCCAGGAAATGGCAGGAAATGGCAGGAAATGGGTAATTAGCCCCAAAACTGAAGCAAAAGAGGGGGTGTTCTCTGATTAAAGGGGGCAATCAATTTTGCATTGGCTACACTGGCCAGACTTTGTTGAATTAGAGCCTGAATTTGAGCCTTAATGCACAACAGAGCGGACGTCAATGTTGCCACTGACGTCACGGTGACCAGATCTCACCTGATCGATGAAGCCGCCGAGGACCGTCAGGTGTCTCGCAGGGTAGGAAGCAAAAATGTGGCCTGTTGCATTGATTCCTGTGACTGACAGAATCCCACTGGTGAAGTCCATGAAAGCATCTGTGAGGGGATAATCAGACATTAGTTGTGCAAAGGAATACACTTATATCTCACATTGATGACGCTTTTTACTCATACAAAGTGGTATGGTGTAATATTCATGTTAAAGGAATAAAGTTGAGCTGTATTCACCATAGTATAATCCAAAGACTGCAGCAGCTCCAGCAAAAGCACCAAGAAACTGAGCAAGGACGTAGAAGGGGAACTTCCAGATCTTCAGTTTGCCCAGAATCACCATGGCCAGGGAAACAGCAGGGTTCACATGGCCCCCTGGGAGCAAGACAAAGCAGAGGGTGAGAGAGGGATGCAGCGGGTGGGGGTCGTCTGGCATGATACCCTCTCCATCATTAGTGAGGCTGTCACATTTACGAGGGGCAGCAGAAGGGGAGCGGCCCCCCTGGGCGGTGCAGGGTTTTGTTATGTATGTATTGTTCACGAGCAAAGAGGCCGAATAATGGATCACTTATTTAAAATTCAAAGTAGAAAACAAAAGGGAGTATTACTCAGTTCCTTTTTTATTTCAGGCTGTGCTCCCATCCTGACAGATTTTACATTTTAAAATGTTGCCTGTCAGTGATTTGTCTGCATGAATTTAATTTTATTGTGTTAATGTGAAAAAGCCCTCAAAACTCACCTATTCACTCTTGCTCTCAAATTTTAATCTTCTACCCCCTTGCCTCTTTAACTCCCTTTTAACTTAGTCCAGGACTTTTTTATTTATTTGTCATTATTTCCTTTATTTACTTGTAAAACGTCTCTGAGCACCAGGAACAGTGCTATATAAATACCTTGTATTATTATTATTGTTATTATAAATTGGAAGTAGCTGCAGCTCAGATGAGGCGAGCGGGGTCGTTCGGGCTGAGTCTGGTGAACGGAGCCTGTGATCGATGCAGTTTGCAGGACATTCAGTGCCCAGGGTTATGTATGACCCCGGAGAGGCTGTGCACTCGCACTAACAAATCAATGGTCAGTGCACATTCATTGGATCTGCGCAGAGCTGGCACGTTCCTGCTGACACTGGAGTCGTAGAGGTGGCACATGGCTGGACAGGAAGCCATAACGTTATATCATTACAGACTGCAAGCCTCATGAGTAACAGTGTTTTCATTACAGGCGAGCTGTGTATGGTTATTTGTAGGTTCTGGCACAGGTCGTTTTTGTAATAACTATGAATTATTTTAATGCAGTCTGCGGCGCTAAACAGTAGATTAAATGCAGCAAATAAGCTGAATGTGCAAACAACAAATTAACAATATAATTAAAGCTGATATTATTTTCCAGTAAATTTGACAGGATGCCAATAAACAGGATGCCAATAATAGTCTTGACTCAAGAAAATCCATTAACAGTTATTTATTTATTTCTCTTGCACATGCATTTAAAAAAAAAAATCTATTGCACGTGTGGTGGATGTTGTTTAATAAGTTGTACTTGATTGGAAATAAACAATTAGGTGCAGAGGTTCCTACAGCCACATTAAACCACCTTACCTGACACTCCACCGGCCACGTACGCCGCCATCATCAGGCCCACGGAGAAGCCGATGTGGACGGTGAGAGGCTCGCCCAGGGTGTTTCGACTGAGGACGGTCTGAGCGACTGAGCCACAGCCGAACAACTGACGAGGAAGAGGAGAACAGACTGTCACTAACATCATAAAGAACAAGGAGATTTCTGCAGTCTGGAGTTCTAAACTATACTGAAGAAAGCATATAAACAACTTCTCAGACTTGACACAACTTATAAAGCAAACCATTTTTGCACTTTTGACAATATTTAGATTTCTAACATGAGAAAAACAAAATGTTGTAAATAAAATGATACTTACAACCAAGACAAATGTCCCCAGGAATTCTGCCAGGAATTCCTTGAATATTCCATGTTTGAGAGCACAGCGTTGCCTCATGCTTTTCTTCTGTTTTTTCTCCATGTGTCCCTGTGCCAATCCCCGTTACAACTACCAGATGTCGAGCAGTGTGAACCTCTGGAGCTGTCAGATCTCCACCTCTGGCCGACAGCAGCCATTCAGCACACACCATTGATCCATTTGGGACCATCACACTCCTCTTATCAGCCTCGTCAACACACAAACTAGAATTTGTGTTGCATCTCCATAAAATGCATCTTCAAAACTCATTTTCTTTAATTGTGTGTGTCATCACAAGACAAACATACAGCTTTTAAAAGTTACTGGAGTTGTAAACACATGAGTTCGTAAAACACAGACATTTATTCATTGGTTTAAGTTTGCAGTTTGCATCATATTACAATAACACACAACAAAAATGAATAAATTAGAGAAAAGATTAATCAAATTGAGTACACGTAAATAAGCTTTTTTGCATTGTAAAACCTCAGTCTGTCAGATATTGCAGTTATACATTTTGCCACAAGAGGTCAACCTTGGCAAGGTCTCTCACTTTAACAACTGCAAACATTATGAAATCACACCTGAGTTTGTTAATGGAATAATGTTATGATATCAACGATTCTTCAAAGAAAGTCCAACATTTCTGAAAGTCCAGAAATTGTTATTTAGCTTTTAATCAGTCAATCAGATCCCAAGTCTTCCAGGTCGTTCCCGTTGTCTTCCCCGGCCTTACTGACAGGAGGCGATTTCCTCTTGCGCCTGTAAATGCAAACACATAAAATGACAGAAATAGTTATAGAACAACATGATTTAATAAACACTGTATCTTAGACAGAAACTCAGTGGCAGGAGGTGAGTGGTCACCTCATCTCGTTCCGCAGCGAGCCCAGTTGACCGTGAAGTTGCTCGTTGGCCTCGATGTGCTCGTCCACTTCCCTCTGCAGCTTCTTCTTAGAGTGCTCCAGACGCTCGATCTCCTCCTCCGCTTCATCCATCTGCCTCTTCGCCGTCTTCAGTCTCTGAGTCAGCTGAAATGAGATAATGAGTCACAAGTACAGTCCACAGATCCTGACTACTTAACAACTTTGAGTTATTTCTCTGCCGTTGTGTACCTGGTCTCTCTGGCTCTGCAGGTTGATGTGCTCCTCGTCCGTCTGCATCTTCATCTCCTTCACCTTGCGCTCCAGCTTACGGTTTGCTTGTTGCAGGCTGTTGTTGTCTCTGAGAGCAAAAAGCACCAAGAGATCACATCACTGCTGAAGCTTCCTGTAACTCAACACCTTCCTAGTGTGTTTCAGACCAGAGATACTCTCCCCCTCACAACCACAGGGAAAGTGATATGTGAGAGTTTTCTGCTCTACGGCTACCATAAAGTATCTGATGGAGCCATTAATCAAAGTGTTATCGGGTGCTGTGACTTACAAACTCTGTACACATGTATTTATGTCAAGAGCTATAAGGTCATTACTTAATCCTTACCTCTCTTCTCCTTGCAACCTTTCCTCAAGTTCCTGGATGCGGCTGTTAAGTTTGGAGACGAGTGAATCCTGGTTGGTCCTCTGTGATCCCTCCAGATGAGTCACTCTGCTCTTCAGGTCTTTATTCTGAGACAGGAAGTGAAACAGAAAAAAATCATAAACTAGGCTAAATTAAAGCGTACCCTGGGGCGCTTGTGACACCTAGTAGTGCCATGGAGCATTGTAGAGACACAGGAGGACACACATGCATGCACACAAGCAGGAGGAGGGTGCAATTCACAGTCCAGCCAATGATTACACATCCTTCCACTATCCTACAAGAAGTGCAGATTGTACCATAGAAAAAGCAGGAAAGGAGGAAACTGCAAGCATGGATGAAAACAATGCAGGTTTAACAATTTCAAAACAATTGGCTTTGCAAATGTTTATGAGGAAAGGAAATGCTTTCAACATTTTTGTTGGAGCTCAATGTAATGCGATTTGGTAACACGTAATGTAAACAGAGAGTGTTTGTTAATGGGAAAACCTGTCCTTTAAGTAACTTTACACTGACATGTGGACGTCAGCAGAGGGTGATGGCGTAGGTTTATCCCTGCTGCACGTCTGATGCCAGATATTGAGATGTGACTAAATTAAGCAGCCTTTGTGTGGAATTATAGTCATGTGATAATAAATTCAACGGTGGTTTGTTGTGGAGGCGTTGTGTGAGGTCAAAGGTCAGTACCTGTCTCTCCAGGCTCAGCTTGTCACACTCCAGGTCCTGTCTGACGGCTCTCTCCTGCATCAGCTCGGCCCTCATCTGATCCATCTGTCAGCGAGAGGAAACACACCCATTCAGCACTGATGGAAAGTAACTAAGTACAGTAACTGTACTTAAGTATAATGTTGAGATAGCTGTACTTCCACATTCTGATTCTCAAAAACATTTGCCCTTACCTTGAATTAAGTATTTATCAATTGTTTTATTGTATTGAATAAGTAAAGGATCTTATGGATCTTTTCACCATTGGGCTTCCCTCATAATATATAAATAATAAGTAGGGAAGGAAGGGTAAAGCATGTGGTCAATAAACCACTAATACATTATTTATGCCAATATCTAAACATAGAGTTAAGTATAGGCTTGCATGTTATATGTACTTCCTTCAGTATTGACTGAAAACACGACAGTACCATATTAACAAGAAAGGTCACTTTCAGGTTAAATGAAATGTTTTTTCTCTTAATTCCTAGAATGAGAGGAAATGCTGTCTAGTCTGAGCAGCCACGTCAGATCTAAAGCTCTCTCCTCTCTAATAACATCCAGAGGCCCGGTGCAGGGAGTGTGAAAGCTGCTCACAATAGTTTGCTGTTTTTTTCCTTTGCACTTTGTTTTGTGTCAATTAGTCTGCACTGCCCCGCTCCCATGAATGGTGGCCTACTTAACAGGCGCACTGAGGATGTGAGGCTCTTATGGAGACATAAGAGATGAACAAACATATATCAATTTGTTGCATTTCAGTCATGTTATGGATGTTAAAAAAGTGATTGTCAAGTAACAGAGCTTAAGGAGTGGAAACCTGAATACTCAGTCCTTCATTTGTTTATGTTTAAAACCAGTTGCAGGGCTGTGCGTTCAAACAGAAGACTGGGCAATAATGTTGTCTCTTCACAGTTGGGGAACTTTATGAATTTTAGCGAACGCATAATACGATCTTTGTGTATAAGAAAGGTAATGGGAGTGAACCTGCCTGCTCTTTGGTTTTGTCGAGTCGTTCCATCAGGCGGTCAGCACTGCAGCGCTCATCATTGAGATCTTCTTCTAACTGGCTGATACGTCCCTGAGAGGAAGGAAACAAACATAATATGTCAAACCACCATCAAGATAAATCTATCCCTTGAGTTTGTAGTTAGTTGTAGTCTGCTTTCTGTCTTTCATTCACATAAAAAAAGACTAGTTTCTGATTAAAGGAATATAAAAAGGAATGTATCTGTTTTGTTTTCCTTATACTGCCTGTAAATGAATTATTGTTGTGTTTTAAGCGAAGTACATGTATGGACAAACCAAGTCAATAAATAAAAAGGAAACAAAAAGGTAAAAAGACGAATAATAAATGAGGAAATCTATGGAATTAAACACAGTTCAGTGCTGATTGGACGGGAGTGTTTGACACTGTAAGAGGGGGACAGAGTAAAGAAGATTCCTGAGAACACCCAGACAGGTTTGATAACTTTGTACAGTAAACAGGAGCTTCCTCGGTTGATACGCAGTGTCAACAGTGATCACTGCTGTCACTGTGGGATGTTTTGTCATCAGCAAGACAAACAGTGCTGAGCTGTGAGAAGTTGTTGCTATGGCAGCACCCTTATAGTTCACAGGAACAAGTGAGGGCAAATACTGGCACCTGAACATTTCAAAAGTTTGCCAAAAAAATCATCTCTGTATCATAAAGTATCCTTGAACTGTGTCTGTTGCCATGTACAATATTTTGTATTAGTGGCTTAATGATGGTCAACATTTTATGATATTTTATGACATTTTCACATTGAATTGTGAATTGCATGAAATGATCAGCTGTGTTTTTTTGTTTTGTTTTATGTATGTTTGCCTTTGTGCGTGAGAACCCCAGGAAGAGTAGCCTACGCTCATGCTAGTGCTAATGGGGATCCTAATAAAAAATCTGATAAATACTTCAAACGATGTGATAAACTGAATCATGGTGGGACGTTCGGCTGTAATGAGAGTTTAAATGAAAAACTCCAGATGATCACTAGTTTAGAACGCTTTTTAGTAAACATAACAATACGTGTATTATTATTATGTCAGGGAAAATTGCTGTTTTCATCTAAACACTGTATGACTCAACTTGTGTTATGAGCGTGACTAAACGATGATGATCGCAGGGATACTTTATTTCATAGTGCCTTTTTTCAGAAACCTGACTGCACCACATAAGAGGCACATCATACATTTTGCAAGCGCTTATTTACAATGATCTGCACAAAATACACCTAATAATAAAGGAAAAATGAGGAAAGCAAGAGTATGTATGTATGTCCGAATTATTTCTCTTTTTCTTTCTCTTTCACCCATTGAAAAAATTACGAAATGTTCAGTTTTACGGAAATGCAGTTTAGAATAAATACATGTATTATTTGGAAGCATGTTTATCTTCTGATGGCACTTGAAGGGGCACTGCGTTAATGGAGTTTGACTCTTACTAGAAGCTAAAGTCAGGATATCTAGTATCTATGATTGTCCCCAGACATTATGGGAGCACATTACTAAATGCTGGGACGTTACCTCCATGAGTTTGACCTGGCGCTCCCGCTCTCCCAGCGTGGCAGCGTTCCTCTCCTCCAGCTCCTCCGCCCTCTGCTCCAGCTGCCGGCCCCTCAGCTGGGCCTCCTGCTGCTCCCTGTGACAGCGCCGCAGATCCTCCTCCAGAGGAAGCAGCTGAGCACATAGCAGAGCAACACACAATGCAAGATAAGGTCAAACGCACCGCCTGCTATGGGGTCAAACAGTCACTCGAACAGAAATGAAGACGTACAGAAATCTGGTAACACATCCGAGACTGCTTTTGTTTTTCCCCCAAAGAAAATGAAAGAAAAATACGATCCATTAACACATGATAAGAAGCAAAATAGTTCAACAAAGGGAAATGACTCCTTCACACTTTATTTTAGTTGTGACTCAGTTGAACAGTTGAACTTGCATGTTGATGAATCAGAGAGACAATGAGTACCACACCTCTTCCTGAAGTTTTTTGGCTGCTTGTCGGGACTTCTCCAACTCTGCTCCCTTTTCCTGCAGCTGTCTCCGCAGATCGTCCAACTCCCTCTGATTCTTCTCTCTGGCCTCATCGACCTGGCTCTGAAGAACATCTGTAGACGTCTCGCACTCCTCCATAATGATGTTCATCTAAACAAAGAGCTTAAACTGTGAGATAAGTGGACGTGTTTACGTTTTATGGCCATATGGCTTGCTACATCTAACCCAAGCACAAGAAATACCAGATTTTTCTGCTGATCCCATGTGGCTTCAGGGTTAAGACAACAAGAGTTTCAGGTGTGTGTTGGCTCCAAAATAATAATAATATTGTCATAGGGCCCAATAAACATTCCTGGTCCACCTCTCACCTTCCTCTGCAGTTGCTCCATGTTCCTGTCCTGCAGCGTCCTCTCATCTTCCAGCTCAGTTTTGGTTTTCCACAGCTCCTCTATTTGTCTCCTCTCCTCCTTGAGCTTCTCCTTCAGGTCCCTGTGGTCATGATTAAGTTTGGTCAACTTACCCTGAGGAAAAAAACCCAAAGGAAAACAGATCAGTTTCAAAGCATGGCTAAACAGGCAGTTCCCGGTGTAGAGAGGCAGGAAACATGTGACAAGAATGGCATGCGGCAAACATGCAGCCCCATGGTATGCATCCATGCAACCAGGCTAGAAGTTGAAGATATATTTTTTAAGAGTGACTTGGCCAAGAGGACGGCATAGCCATTGTTACACACACAACAGACACATACAACTTTCACACAAGCTTGAAAGAGCACAACGTCCACCTACTATGCAATACAAAACAGTTCAAACAGGTAGTATTTGTAATAGTTACAGTCAAAGATGTAGGTCACCACAATGCCACCATGCTTTACCTGCACGTCCTCCAAGCGAGTGAGCAGCGACTGGTTAGACTGACACATCTCCTCCTCGTTCCTCCTCACATCTCTTAGTGCTTCCTCAACCTGCTGCTTTTCCCTCTGCAGAACACCAAAACATCGGGACGTACATAGAAAATGGATGATTAGATCACATCAGTAAGTTAAATGTCAATAAAAGGATATTTTTGCTTGCGTCTATTTAAATGTTCCACCTCCAGCTGCTTCACTCTCTGCTCCAGCAGCCGCTCTGTGTTTTTGGACTCCTGGATATCCTGACTCAGCTGATCCAGCTTGTTGGTCAGCTCTTGCACCTTTCCTCTCAGCTGATCTCTGTCCTGGCTCGTCTCCTTCAGCTGCACCTGAGCTGATCCTCTCTCCTCCTCTACTTCAGCCTTCTTTTGACCCAGCATAGCACTGCTCTGTGACAGCGGACAGAATAACAAATGATGAAACCATGTTGTAGCTTTAGGAAAAAGAGACAAAGACGGAGAAGCATGTTACCTCTTGAGCCAGCTCTAAATCCCTGAACAGCCTTTGAAGCTCCTTTTCATATTCCTCCTTCAAAGCGGCCATGTAGGAATCATGAGTCTCCACCTCCTCTTTGAGCGCCCCCTTCAGGGCGATGAGCTCCCTCTCCCTGTGGTGCAGCACCTCCTCCTGCTCCTCCTTCACCTGTAGTATCTCATGAAAGTCCAGACGTAGATGCGCCATTTCCTGACATACATCAATCAAAATAAAAGGTCACTACCTCGAGGCCAGGGAGGGAGCTTTACAGCTGCTTCTGATTTGTGAAGAGTATCTCGTTCATGTGGTTTCACTTACCTCAAGGAGGACTTCTTTCTGTGTATTTATCACTTCAGCCTTTTTGGCTTGATCCAGCTCATCGTGCATCTCAGAGAGCTGTTGCTGAAGATCTTTCATCTCCGTCTTAGATCTTTCCCTTTCTGCCTTCATGCGAGTCAGCCTAACATCCACAAATATGCAGGAGAGAGAGATATATTACAGATATGTGTTGAGTTCAAGAAAGGAAGACTGTGTACCATGCTTTAAAGTTTCAGAAAGGTGATGGATAGAACTAGATAACAAAAGAGGATATCTGCACACTTAATCCTAATGGTATTTGACCCCGCTTTCGGTCAAATGACTTTCATCAGATCATACAACACAGTTCACTTGAATGACCTTAAAGCAGAGGTTTGTGAAGTGTGAGGCGTTTATCTGGTGTATTCTGAATTAATTTCAAACAGCACATTTAGGCTATCTCGGCGCAATGGTTGAGTTGTTTGGGATCAAATAACATCATGATCCAATAGACATCCAGGAGTTGCTAAAGGGAAGGGATGTCTTTTTCCATGATTTGTATAAGAGGCCCACTGTCTCAGACTTCCAAAACCCCTGCCTCAAAGTATTAGCAGAAGCTTATTTAAGCAAAGTGAAACAAAGCATGGAGGTATTCATTTGAGGTATTCTATCCGAGAAAAACATCAACGTCTATTTGATACACAGTTTGAACAGCTAGTTTGGCTCTATCCAACAAAAACAAAACCCCCCTACCAGAACATTTAGAGCCCCGCCTATTTGCAAGTCCAGGACTATTTTATGGCTGGGAACAGTGACTTCTAGAAGCCAAAAAAACAGCTAGTCAACAGCAGCAGTTTTTTTCCTGTTTCAGTCTTTGCTGGATGAAATGTGGTGGCTTGAAACTAGATTTTGTTACAATACTAGTTTAGCATCAGATTTGAGTTTTCCTTTTAAATGTTGTTCAAGTTCTTACTCCTGTTTGGTGGACTGAAGTTCGGCCTCCATCTGAGCCAGTCGGTTGCTGAGTCTGCACAGCTCCTCCTGACTTTTGGCCAAATCCTCCTGACATTTCTTTTTCTCTGTCCTGGCCTTTTCACAAGCTTTGGCCAGAGTCTTTTCATTCTGCGCAACACAACAACATCATTAGTCACAGGAATAGGAAATGAGTGTTTTAGAGGGGAATCAGCAGGATGGGTCTGAACTACACCTTAATCTCTGTTTCCAGTTGTTGTTTTAATTGAGACACTTCTTTCTGCAGCACTGCCTGTTTGTCTTGCAAAAACTTCACCTCGGCTGCATAATCCTACACATGGAAAAAATCAGAAGCCCAACATGGTTGTCCATTTCAGTCAAAGACATTAAAACATTATTATCACAAGACACATTTTCTGTTCCTCCTCCACATTTTCAGCAGTCTTCCACTTGACCTTGTTGACCTTTTCAAGCAGCAGGATGACTTTCTTCTCAGTGGTGGAGTCATCATCAGTCGTCCTGAGGAGAAAGTTAAATACTTTACAAACACCCTAACTGTACTGACAGGGTGTAATGATAACATATATATCAGCCAAACGAAAACATTGACATGACCTTTCATTAGTGTGAAAGGGAAATGTGAAACGCTACGCCTACCCAGCGTTATTCTAAACAATAGCTCTACTTCTGCACATATTTTAAAAAGCCACTGATAGATCGTAAAAACTTTGTATGAGAAGAAGTTCTTTTATCAGGGGAAACAAGTACATGCTCTGCATTCCTGTCTGATGCCTGAGCACACACAGCTGTAGCAGCACCTCCTTATCTGACTACAAGAGACAGTGTTAACGAAAACAAATGTCAGCTCTCAAATATATACAAATTGAAAATGCAAACTTATTTATTGAGCTGTTAAAGATATAATTAGAAAATATTATATATGAAGATTGTTGATGATTGTATCTGTACTATAAATGTAAAGCTACAGCCATTTAGCTAAGCTAAGCTTAGGTTAGCATCAAGGATTGACACTGGGAGGAAACCGCTAACCTTCCTGTGTTCAAAGGTTTAAAAAAGAATCTGTCAAACAGCACATCTAACATCCGGGTAGTTACTGCCCGGGCCAAAAAAAACCTAGAGTTTATAATCTTCAAAGCATAAAGTCACATTGCTCTTATGCTAAGCTAAACAGCTGCTGCTGACTATAGCTTCATATTGAGGGTACAGATGTATGAGTGGTATCAATCTTCTCATTGAACCCTTGGCAAGAAAGCAAATTACAATACTTCCCAAAATGTGAACTATTCATTAAATTATTCCTTTCAATTATTAATTTGAACTGTAATTATTGTTGTGTTTTATATTAGTTAAAATGTGTTTTAATGTTGTTTTTATGAATTTTGACATGTTACGTCTCCGAGTACCCTGAAAAACGGTAAAATGTATAAATAACATGTATGATAAAAAGGTATTATTATTAATTAAGCAGTACTTACCCGTCTTTGAGGTAGGTGAAGAGTATTTGTTTGGCTGTGTCTTCAGGTGCGTCTACTGAGAGTTCTTGCTGTCCTTTCAGAAGATCGGGAGTGACCTGGTTAGGGAATAAACAGCCAATCAATACACCTTTTTAAATGTAAACTGTGACTCGGCGCCAATCTCTTTACCTGTGCATCTCTTTCATCAGATGCATCGGTCTGGTCACTACATGATCTGGATCTTGAAGGTTTCTCTGCTCTTTGAAGTAATTTTGCTGCATGTGTGGAAATCGTCTCTTTTCCATTATGTCCTTTAATCAATGTGGTGTTCTTGTTCTCCTCCCTCGTCAAAGAAGATTCTCCGCCAAGGAGTCGAGCCCTGGCTGATCCTGGAGGATAAACCCCACCTGGGGTCTCACCCCTGACAGCTTTCAGAGATGAGGCTCTGCTGGAGGAAGAGGAGGAGGAAGAGGACTCTGAGGTTCTACCGCTGTCCGCGCTGCGTGACCTTCGACACTGCTCCGGGTCCAACCGGTTCCTCGGGCCGCCTCTTCCTCTCCGCTGGCTGCTGTTGAACCGGCTTATTAGCTTCCCGACAGATATGAAGGAATCTGTCTCCACTGAGTTAGGCGACCTTGCGGGAACTTGACTACCTGAGGGAGGGGTCACATCACTCTGGTCTCCCACTGGGCCCTCAGCAGGCAGAGGGATCCGGGGTTTCTTCACAGTCTCAGGAAGAGGGCTGGTGTTCAGCTGTGCAGGTCGAGCGACTGACGCTGCTGAAGGTACAACTACGTTCAGGTTATTACTCTCGGGGTCATAAGGTCTCAGAATCTCCGGATGTTTCTGATAATGAAACTCAGAGGAGGATTCAGGCCTCTGTGACTCAGAGGGAGAGCGTCTTTCATCCTCAGACCTCCTCACCATGCCAGGATTGTACCCCGCCTGGTGAGTGATGACAGAGACGTCCCGGTGGATCTCCTGGCCAGAACTGTTCAGAACCACGTAGGGTTGACCTTTAATTCCTTGGATCTGCACCCTGACTCCGAACAAGTCATCCTGGCTGCCTCTGGGACTCTGCTGCTTGGTGTAGCCCCTCTGTATCCTGACGTCCGGAGAGCCACTCAGCCTGCGAGAATCCATCGTGACTCTGAACTGTGGAAAAAACAAACCTGCTTGTTAAATATGAAGCTGAAGCAGACTGACCCTGCATGGGAATTGGAGACTGATGAACATGTTTGGTGTTTACACAACATTGGAGCAGGGTCAGGGCCTCACAATGACACACATCCAGGGAGCTCCTCACACAGCTGCACTCAGCAGATATAAAGACAGAATAAATACACACAGACAAGAGGCTGATATTGCAATGAAAACAGCTCCTTCTGTGTGCTCATGACAGAGTACTATTGTACAACTGCATGACGACTACCACTGGCTGGGGTCCCCGAGGTGTCGTCACCCACTTCATGGTATGACACTTCAGGAAAATGATTGTCTACAAATATGTTACTGTGAGGCCGAAACACAAGAACACAGGAGGTGTTGTGCAGAAGACAAAACCCAGGAGTACAATCCTGAGGGTATCGCTTTAATCAGTAACACAACAGCTCATTTATTTAAGTTTAAAAAAAAGTTAGTTCAGAAAATAATTATATGGTACCATTTTCTAATAAGGCACCGTTTACAAAGTGGTTCTATAATTGCTTTAACAGTGTTTATAAATGATTTACAAGCGCTTTATATATGAATTCAAAGCTATTAACAAGAACAACTGTTAGGCGACAAAGTTGTGGTAAATCCTCCTCCGGCATGACCTCTGTTTTGTTTTTGTAGTTTACTATTAAATTAATAATAAAGACCTCTCAAAAGGACAGTGTAACAAACCAACATCAATTTGTCGCCAACTACAAAATGATAACATCGGCTACTTTACAACATACAGTCAATTGAAGAAAAGCTTACCAAAAGGATTTGTACAACCTACCCGAATGATGTATTGACAGAGTATAACTGTACCATGAAACATTATTAATTAACATTAATAATAGCTAATTACAGCTTGACGCCTTTATAGAGTGTGCTTCATTAGAAACAGGACATTTGTCCAAAAAGTTGTTCCTATGGCTATTTCAAATATATTGAAGCGACAAGTCCATTGTTTCTTATTTTTATTGATTTTGCCATTACTCTTTTAAAGTAATTTGTCATAGGCTACGTGTATGTCCACTCTTTCTATCGATCTCATGTAGGCTTTGAACGTGCAGCGGATATGCGTTTATCCGGTTTCAGGCTACTTTACTTCACAGTAAACCAAGTCTAAAGTTTTCGGTTACTTTGAAAACAGGCATCTAAGATTAAATAACATCTATCTATAACATCACAGAGTAGGCTACATCACAACACTTTACACTGAAGAAAGAAGTTGAAAAAGTATACTATGATCCGTAAACTCACCACTGATCCCCGCAGACACACCCTGCAAGACAGACGTCGTAAAAGCAATACGGGGCTGGTAAATTAAGGACACATGCGGTAGAAATCGATCTGAGCTAAAAACTTACCAGCTGAGTGTCTGGGTGTTGAACAGAGTCCTCCTCCTCCCTCTCCGTCCAGAAGACTGTCCTGCCTCCACCCGAGCCCTGTGTCCCGCTCAGAGAGGCGTTCACTGCCTGCTCTGTCAGATACTCAAACCATATGGGATATTATGATTTACTCCACCCGTTAATGTCTCCATGTCATCGTCAGTGCACGCCATGTAGCCTATATCTTACTGGTATCTTTGATTATTCCTGAAGTTTGTCACAGGACCGGGAAAATATATCTCTATTTTCCATTGAACAATAGGCCTACTTAAAAGGCTGCCGTTAAAGGCATACTTTTTCTGATCATGCAGGTGGCCCCCAAAGATGCATCTTGTATTAGGCCTAGAGATGAAGTTGAATAAATGTGTTTATCTGATTTTGTTTTGGAATTGCCCATAAATAATCCACAACTGGACCACCCCCATGATGGAAGAGATGGGCGATGACAGACAACCAAAGTACCTAACAAAGGTCTGGTCTGGCCACTAATAAGGGGACCTCGAGTTTGGTAATTTTGTAACATTTCATAGAAGAAAGTTTAAGCAAACTGTTTTGCTAGTTTGACAAACTCTGTGTGATTTTCTGTTTTTTATGAAGAAGAGCCTACAACATGAACTATTATGTCATTACTTTGATAACGGTTTTTTTGTTTACTTTCCTACTACATTAACCATCTCACAAGATTTCCTGTGACCCTTTGAAGCATCTTGACCTCTGGAAAGCGGAAAATACCAATATAACAATGACCACAACCACCTAATAATTAAATACATGATACTTTTTTAGTCGTTGCACTTTGTAGATAATATGCAAGTTCTGTTCTGTAAACATTTGGATGCAGGACTTTTATTGAAATGGCATAGGGCCATAGGCTATGTTAGATAACTAATTTGATTACTGCAAATACTGATTCGTTGTGAGAGTAACTGGGCAGGTATATATATATATATATATATATATATATATATATATATATATATAAATATATATATATATATATATATAATATTCATACAAATGTATTATATGAAAATATGATGTTCATTGTTTAGAGTTATTCTAAGGTTTATGGGAACTCACAGAAAGATCACACTGTTGAGATTTCTGCCTGTTTAACACACTTTGACCAACAGGGGGGTTCAGATGAAGCCTCATGAGATGAACCCTTTTGAGAACCAATTGGCTGGAAGGCTTCAGAGCTTCATAATGCTTCATCTCGCCATCACTAGCACAAATGCCAGCATTAGGCACTACCAAAAACAGGGGTGTAAATAAAATATTGAAACACAAGTCAAACATAAATAAACATGAAATCAAAATACTTCACATCAATTAATCGACGTAGTTATGAATAATACATTGAAAACTAAAACAAAGATACCAACTATGTCTTGCTGTATACATTTAAAACGTACCCCCCTACTCAAACTTCTTGGTGTAACCCTCCCGGAACCATAAAGAGGTGTTTAATGCCCGGGGACTTTTTTTAAACGCACACCCTGGGATGATAGGAGAGCACAGGTAAACGTTTATAACATGATACGCTGTTTATATATCTGTAACTTTACAAAAACGCTAGCAAACCGGCATTCAGGACACTTATTTTTGTTTGTACACATGTTGTTTATCGGAAATATTGCTCCACCAATTGCACCATAAAAGGCGACAGGTGTAGTTTATTAGTTGGCGCTGTCACCGTTTCTCCACCCGGCATCTGGAATAAACAACAGGTGCTCAGATTGCCTGCAGATATTACACCATGCAAAACATATATTTAATTAATGAGCCATTGTTTTCCTTTGTAAATCTTGTCACAATGCCTCACTGTGCACAACCTAATATGCATTGTAAAGAATGCTACGCCAATAAAGACGCCTTTCACAAATGTAATGGACACTCATTTGGCCTCAAATGAATTATATCTTCTTGTATTTGAATGTTCACTTAATAGTAATACAAGTTTTAGTACTTTAAATACAGTAGGTGTATGTGCATGTGTTTTAGTTTTAGTAAAATATATAAAAGAACACACTGAAAAACTATTTGAAAAGACACATTTATTGCTACATTATCATTTGACACATGCCTGTTGGCTACTTAAACTGTACATGTCATGATGGAAATAATTTCAGATTATTTTTAATTATTATTTGTTTAGCAGTTTGATATGCAAACAAGACATCAATTATTATTTTACACTGTATTGCTCAGAGCATGGAATATGGCTACATCTATTAAAACAGCACAAAAAGGTTTTCATATATAAAAGTAAATGGAGACATTATGAAATGCACAATATTATAAAAGATAAGTTACATAACTTATAAAAAATTAATATTCTAGTAAAAACTCAAACATGCAAAGAGCTTTGACTAAGTCTGAAGAGCGAGATTTACTCTGAGAAGACGAAGTCCATTTTCCACCTCTGTCTCGTTAAGTGTGATCCTGTTAACAGTGCTATTACATAAATGTGTGAAATGTGTACAAATAACAGATGATGCCGACCTGTCAAAGAACATTTTGGGAGATCTGTTCATTCATAGAATGGTCAAACTCCTTCGCACACATGCACACACTAAACAACAGCTCACACACTCTCACACACACCACAGGACAATTGAAATCCGATGTCTGAACACAAATATGGGAATGTCAGTTCTCTGAGCTCGGTGAAAATCACGAGTGTACGTGGTTAATAGTGATACACTGAAAAGATCAATCAGAAACATATCTGGCTCCTCCAAAAATCAAAACTGCAGATGACACTCGTCACTACTGGGTTTCATCCTTTCAGATACTGTATATTCAAAACAGACAGATAACCAATAAATATATAAAATATGTACAAAACATCGGCAGTTTACAATGCATTTGTCTGTTACAAGTTAAGTGTAGGCACAAAGTTAGAAGTCCGGTTGGGAAGCAAGGAGATGATTGTTCAAACTGAGAGGGCTTCCTGGTTGCTCTTCGATCAGCATCTGGACATCAAACACACAGATGATAGCAAAATTAGACCTTCTATGGAAATATTATTAATGTCAAGTTTGTAAACCGGGTTGGTAGCATTACAACATTTTTTACAAAAAAGAAAAATACAGTTACTGTCTGCTAAAAAATATACAATGTCTTTATCACATATGTGTAACTGCTGTTTAAGTTAATGTTACTTACTTTATGCTGTATTTGATTCAGTTATTATCAGATGCTCAGAGGTGGCCCATGGGGTTTGATGGGTCTGTCAGACTGGGATGGAAAGCGAGATGCATGGACTGTTGATCCGCCATGGCTGCAGACGCCTTCTCTTCCTCTCTCCTCCGCAGACACGCTGCCTTCGGGTTCAGGTTCCTCTCTGTGGGATTCAACAACAATGGGTAAGCGTTTGACTAAGTAAATAAGCTAAAACATGTGGTAGAACAAGGATGTTATTCATTGCCATCCAATGTGAAATGCGAGTTCAGTTTATTTTGAAAAAAACAACTGTATTCTGCTTTGGCTATCGCTTTTCTGTCAATATGACTTGTTATGGTTAAGTGTACTGCTGTAATAGTGGCTTTAAAGCTGTTCTTATCAATATTTGTATATTAACAATCAATTTGACTTTGTTTACTGTACATTATGTTATTTGTAGTCAAAAACCCACAGGCAATTTTCACCAGACTGCTATTCTTCTCAGCTAATGATGAGCGTTTTAGCATCTTTCAGCTGTTGTTTTGATTTGACGGTTTGTAACCTCAATGTTTTGGTCTTATCAGCTTTCATCGGTGTAGTTTTCAACTGCAGCAGCTGGCAGCTGTTTTGACCCTGCCTAGAACCAAAGAGGTGAGACTAGCTGGTGATAAAGGAGCATTTAGCTGCTCGAGATATTTCCCTTAGGAGTTGGAGGGCACCAAAAAAGAGCTAAAAAATAGAGTGAATATTAGGCTCATTATCATCAGGTTGACAGAAACATGACTCCAAATAAATGATAATATTGCGCTATGTCTGCTAATTGTGCTAAACTTTTTTTACCTCCAAGTGGATAAAAAAACTATAAAATAATGCATGTTCAAATTGAAAACATAAAAATGTGTGTTAGTAGATATAAGATATTTACCCTGGATAAACTGTTTACATCTTTAGAGTCTGTAATCAACTGATTCATCTCCTACGCTAACTCCAAACCTCTTGTTGTATGTTAGGTGTCACTCTCCGTTATTTATTTTACTTAAAGGGGACCTATCATGCAAAATGCACTTTTGTACGTCTTTTATACATGAATATGTGTCCCCGGTGTTCCAGGGAACTCACCAAGTGTCAGTAAACACAACCCTCTCTATTTTCCTTCATACCCAAATCTCTAAAAAAGGGGCTGCAACGGATCTGATCAAAACTGATCCAGATTTGAACACTTTCCTGACGTCAGGACGGTGGCGCTACGGCTATTGGGCCAACTCCACCAATCAGGAGGAGACAGCGACAGCCATTGCCGTTCTAAAGCGCTGGAGACGCTGTAGTACATATGCCAGGCCAGTAGATGGTGCTGTTCTCACTGAATCTGCCCTTGCTAAAACAGATCTAAAAAAATTCAAATTGAGCAAAATGAGGCATGGCTAAAATGCATGATCTGTTGTAAGCATAAATATGCCTTATATAGGTATGGTCCTACACTATATTATTCAAATATAGCATGATAGGTCCACTTTAAACCATTCCTCCTTTAAGGATGCGCTGACCTCTGACTTGTTGTTCCAGGCTGAGGATCACAGACACGGCCTGGTGCAGCACCAGCAGCTTGGTCTGCGGCTTCTCGCTCTTCAGGTGCAGCTGAACCATGTGACCCAGCTCCTTGAAGGCCTCGTTGATGTCCCGCACACGCAGGCGCTCACGGGAGTTGTTGGACATCCTCCTGTCGCGCTCACGTTCGGCCTTCTGCTCCGGGGTCAGATTCTCATCCTCATCGATACTGCAACATCGATGAGAGAGAAAGAAATGCTGGTAAGAATTCTGTATCAAGTTATTGTCTAAATCTTTAAAAGGCCTCTTATGTTTTGATACTGATATTCACACATCAGTGGACTGTGTTGAGTTATACTGTGGGTGTGTCTGCCCTCTGCTGGTCACTGGGCTGACATGTTATTGGGTCTCCTGAGGTTATTTGATTCATCCTCATTTGTTCTGTGAAAGCCATTCCATACTATATTGAGAATCCATTTCCAATCAATAACCCCTGATCAAGAGCTGCAATTTAATCACAATTTAATAACTGTTACAATCATAGTCTCATTGAGTGTGAATAAGAAAACAGAACAAAACAAAACGTCCAATAACATGTTTTTTTGCTGGAGGATTGCCCACATACGTCAATTTCAATTTCCCCGAACTAGATTATAGATAGATATAAGAAAACACGCACTCAGGCTCCAGAGCTGATGTCATGAAGAGGGTTGTCCTGAAGTGACCGCTGAAACTAGAGACACCAGGACATACCCTCAAATTAATCTGTGACATTTTCAGGAAGTACAGTCTACTTTTAAATCTCTGGCTCATGTAAAACCAAACCAAGTTAATGAATTTAATTGCAGAACTAAACGTTTAATAAATGTATTGAGGAAAAGAAATGCCAAACTTTGTGGGGATTTAAGTATCTGTTGTCTTTCTGTTTTATATTTTCAATACATTTGGATTTCATGATGTCACTTATCATATAATGGTCTGATAACACAAGAAAATACATGTAGTAGTTGCATCCTTAGTTACAAATAATAATACAAACTATATGGAGCAAAATAACTAAGCTTATGTTGTATTTAACCCCTAATGGTGATTGGCTACTGAAGAACGTGGAAGGACTCTATAAAAAGACTAATTTTGGCATCGCTTGTGTACTTCTTTCATAACCTTAATACACCTTTCAGTGTCTTTACATTCACTGAAAGTCCTGGCAGCTCCTCTTTTCTTCTCCCTTAACTTAATGCAACATGAAAAAGAAATATGAGGCAGAGTTAAATAGGCTGGCCTGGACGCAGCTGCCCTCCACAGCAGGGGGTCCCGCAGTGTTTTCAATTAGTGAAACCAAACGGTAAGAACACTCTAATACTTGCCTCTGAGGGAGGGACTTTCCTTAAATCTGCTGTAATGCTTTACTGTCACAAAACCCATTGTTTTTCAAACCAATTGTTTTTTTTCAGTGCAGATTTTAAATCATGCACAGTCATTTTAAACCAGTAAGCCATACTAAGCAGCTGGTTTTAAACACAAAACTAGTTATTCTGAATGGGTGAATGCTGTTTTTTGTTCATTCTAAGCAGATAAGTGTTACCTGTTATCTCCTTGTGTTTTGTTTTTGCTCTCCTCATCTGACCTCTGGCTGTCGGAGCTGTGACTGTGGTTAGTGTGGTTCATCTCTTCCCGTTCCCTGCTCTCCATCTTCAGCTCCAGATTACTTCCTGTGGCACAACATTTAAAAAAAATGGTATATTAAAACTGTGAAATCTACTCAGTCCTAATAGCTCATGGGTTCAAAAGTTCAGATGTGAAATACACGAGTGCATCAGCCTCTACCTGCACTTTGCATGTCATGTATTGTGGCCCTCTGTCTGATTGGGTACGGGTGGCCATTTTGTGTGTGGCTCTGGAAGGCTGGGTGGTTGTTGTTCATATTGACAGCTTCAACCTTTAAGGATCATAAAGAAAGGGGAGAGATAAGAGCTTTATTCATAGCCTCAGTCACATACAGTATACAACTTTTACATCCAACCAATGACAAATAAGTAACAAAACCAACATCTGCCTCCGACGTAACACCGGGTAGAGCTCTTGCTCTACAGAATTAAATTAATCTCAGACCATCTTAATCCTCCCCTTAAAACTGCTATATACTCCCTGCATATAACACTAATTCTGTTCAGGAATGATTCACTTCTAACAGATACATCATTTGAAAAAATTAAAGTGAGAGAATTTAATGCCCCCTCCCCCCAAAGGATTAGACTAAAAAGCCCTTTCCCCTGCATATACTCCACTCCAGCTGGGCCAAAATCCCCTGGTCTGCTGAAAGGGAAACATGCTGGAATGGGAATTGCACGATGAAGGCGTCCCCCACCACCCACAGTGGAATTAAAATCCGCACATACTGTACCCTCGCCATACAAGGGCTATGCTAAATACCACTCTCCATTGTGCTCAGTTTCCTTTTTCAAGGACAACAACCCGTACATGAGGAAAACATGCAGACATAGCGGGTGGAACATTCCAACACATACACAAAACATGGAATTTCCATACACACTGCCATGTCCTTCCCTAAATATTTAAAGGAAATGGATGTTTACCATGGCTGGAGTGTGGCAGGTGAGCGGCAGGGGGCCGGCAGATCCCAGGAGGCCTTGCAGGTTCTGGTTCAGCAGGCCGTGGATGTCTGCAGGCAGGCCGGCCGTGGGGCCCACAGCGTGGTTCCTCAGGACGTGGATCACATCGTCCAGTCTGTCCAGCCGGTCCTCCACCTGAGACTACGCACACCAAGAGAGGAGAAGTTATTTATGTGACGTTTGCCAATCAGGAAACAGTATTGAATTTAATCGAAGTTAAATTAAATCTGACATTTTTCTGTAACAATTAAGAGCTCTTAAATCAATTTTCTCAAAAAACTTGCAGTTTTTCAGTTTAATTGTGTCAAGAACAGTCATGTCAAGTAACATAAAGGTTTAATTGGAAGTAGAACGTCACTTGTAAGGCTAAGACCTCTGCTAAGGCCTAATGCTCTCCCGCAATGTTAAAAAAGATAATGTCTGTATCTGCCTCATGATTTAGGTCTGCTTCTAAACATATTGGGTTCATCATTGGCCCATGCTACACCTGTCCACCACTTTAATGAAAATCCTGCTTATATACAGGCAGAAAAAAATAACAAAACTAAAAATATAACCTCTATGGAGGATGTAATAATATATACCTGAAATAAATTGTTTAATATTTGTAGGACTGTAATAAACGTCCTGCAGGAGAGATAGCTGACAAATAGACACCACTCTCATATCTGTGTGTTAGATATAAAGCCAAGGCAAGCAGTTATATAGCTTGACTCTATTGGCTCTATTTCTTGGCCCGCTGACCTCCTGCTGTCTTGTCGTGACCTTGAGGTTGCCAGGTCTGGCAAAAAAATCCTGTAAAACCACAACTTCCGTTTAAAAAAACCTTTTAAAACCTATAACCTTTGGACATAGCTAGGCTAGCTGTTTTGCCCAATTTCCAGTCCTTGTGTTAAGCAATTTATTGTCATCATTATTAAAATAAATTGTATTAGTATCACCATCATTTTTTGGTTATATTTCATAATGGCCCTTTCAGGTGTTTGCACAAACATTTGATATTTTTCACATTTTTAATATCTGTTTTTATTGTTGAATACTTGCTTGAATATACTTAACATGAAAAATATCTTAGGAACTGCATATTAAATATATTCTCCTTTTCTTTTAATTTACATCTATATAACACAATCATTTAAACTTCATGTGATATAAATCAGGTCTTTACCAATGATATAAGGGAAGACTCGTAGTGTGGTGAGACTGGTGCTTGGGCTGAACTCCGGGGCCACATGTTGGTACCTGAGAGGAAGAAAATAACCCAATAAGGCCATGAAAAGACAGAAAAACGCAGAATATAAATACTATTTCACTGTGAGGAGCCGCTACAGCAGCTTGTGTTCCTCCAGTTTACCTGCAGGTTCAGTTGCATTCGGGGACGGAGACCTGACTGGTGTGGACGAGCTGGAGGGGAAGTTGCTGCTGGTGTGATCGGGGGAATAAATCTGGCAGCAGACATGGGGAGAGAGAAGGAGGGGGGGAGGGGTGTGAGTAAGGCATGGATCATTTTAAAAGCACACCTTGTCATTTCTGCGTAGGGTTTTACAGCCGCTGCCTCAGCCTTTGGAGCAGGCTCGTAACCTGAACTAAACTCATCAATTCTGGTCATTTTACTAGTTGGCAGCCAATAAAAAGTCCAGCAGCACAAGAGTGGCCTTTCGTTAATACGCACTAGCCTGCTTCAGGCAGGGACAAACCCCTATTTTCCTTTTGCATTATGCCGCTGTGGCTCTCAGGGCTTGGTTTTATGCGCTGGTCTGACTGTTTGAACATAACACGGCATAGATGAGCCGCTCTAATAGGATTGAGGTGCTGCATACTTACAGAGGCCAGAGCTTTGCCCAAGGTATCGCCTGTCTGTGATCCTCCTGACACATGTCCCTTGCTTCCTGAGACTGAAAAGAATAATAATATTAAATATTAAAACAATTAGCAGACAAACCAGAGCTGACTTAAGGTGCAGATTAATTCCTCCATTTCCTCACCTGTTGAATTGTCTGAGTTGTTGATTGTCGGAGTGTGTGATGCTGTGTTGTTGCGGTGAAAGGTGGACATTGGAGGGAGACCCCTGTTCATGTCGGCAGCCACCACTGAGTGTGGAGAGTAGTCCTGAACAGTAAACACACATCATAATTAGCACAGGATGCTGTGCTGTCAGACAGCCTATAGGTGCAGGATGTGAGTCTCACCAGGTGACTGTGCTGCACCGGCTGCAGGCTGCTGTACCCCCCCGCCTGGGTCTGGTGGGCTGCTCCCAGAGCACCTTCATAGCCCTGCTGGTTCAGCCCATTTACAGCATTCCAGATGTCGGGCGAATTGCTTGTCCCCTCTAAAATGAATAACAATATGTTATAGCCTGCACTGGAGCGGCATCTCAAACAGCCAGTCGAGGCATTAAGCTGTACAGCGGCCTCCACGGAAACAATAAAGCCCTGTCAGTCTGGCAATGGCTGGATAATGTTATTTTATAACAAACTATGTCTGAGCTCTGAGAATCATGGGAAACACCTATTTGTTTTTAATGGTTCATGAAACATAATATAGGAATGTTAAGGTTCAGTAAGATTTTTTGTGGTTTCCTTACCTAAATATATATTACATATGACTATTTTCAATATCAAAAGTTTTCCTGTTTTACTAAATGTGTCTTACCTTTATTGTTATTCTATATGTCACTGCTGTTGGTATTACTTATTATACAGAACATTTAATATGTATTACTCTATGTTTTTATTTTAATCTCTAGCACAAGAATGTATTTCTTATCTTATCTTCAGTATCATATCTACTAAAGCCCAGAATATAAAAACCACTTAAGCTATGTGTGTTTTTATGTTCCTTAAAGTGAACCATATTTCTCTGACATACTTGGAAAGGGACGGGTTAGCAGAGAGCTATTGGATGTATAGGAGTAACATTATGTACAAACATTCATGTGTTCTAAGAATTAACTCTAATTACTTTGTTGATTCTCTGAATTTTTATCACAATTATAAGGTCAATATTTGTATCATATAATATATTGGTTCTATCTATACTACAAGAAAAAATGGTTTTAGTGAATGCTAAACCTCAGCTGAATTTTCTAATCGCAGTGATTACTGCTGGAATAATCATGATTATTCAGGATTGTTTGCGCTCACCAAAGAAGGTGCTTGCGAACACATTGTTGTGGGCCTTGGAGGATGGATGAAAAGATGAGTTCTGGTTGATGTCGTCGTCATTATTGGGAGACTGCCCATAAACCTAGGAAGAAAAGCGTGTTTAAGGCATTGTCGACTATGACGTGCAACATGATTTTACACAAACAATGATATTCTATTTGTCTTTAACACTGAAACCAATCTAGCTGTCACAAACGTCCTAATACTGTGAGTACGAGCTGAAGCAACAGTATTATAAAGCAAAGCAGAGCGGATGATGCACACTTAGAGCTATTGCGATAATCCATAAGCTGCAGATCCATGCACCTCCTCATCCGGATTTAGGAACCATTCACCATGAGAAATCCCTGTCCTAATCATGATCAGGTTCGACTGGCTGCAGAAGACCGGGATACAATTCCCTCTCAAATAATTACAGGCCTGCACATACTATGTCCTCTGAAAGAAACAAACACAGAACCCTAATGATCCCCTTATGTAGGAAACAAAACATTGCAAATGGCAAACAGATTTAAGAATTTAACTGAAGATACCTCTGGTTAATGTTTTTCTTTCAGTTCTAAAGGCTACAAACTGCACATATGCGCCTGAAACACACCAACACATGCTCACTCACTCAAACCAACCAAGAGGTCTGGGCTGCACCTGCACCTCCCCTGGTTGCTTTGATGTGCCCCAGGAAATGAAAATAAACCTCCCTGCACAGCATCAATGGGGTGTCAGTTACCCGGGCGACAAGTTCTGTAAAGCAGGCTATTAAAGACTCTCTTGAGTATGCTTGTGCAAGCACACTCACAGGCTCACACACACAAAGACACATGGTCTTAAGCACACACACACACACACACACACACACACACACACACACACACACACACACACACACACACACACACACACACACACACACACACACACAGCCGTGACCCTGGCTGGCATGAGTCCCATGGTGATTGTGGGCTTGGCCAAACAGAGGAGCCCCTGTCGACACTGGGCCCGTCTGAGCCGCCATGGGCAGCATATGGCGCAGGATAAAGCCAATTGTCCTCCTTACCATCAGCATAGCAGGCGACCCGTTAATAATGGTCACACCCCCGCCCCAGTACGCCCTCTGTGGCCCCCACTGGAGAGGGGCCGTCACCATGGCATCGTCTTTTAGCATAGCATTGATTTAGGAACCATCAATCACTGCATCACAAATGATAAGGGACCTTTCTTCAACCAAAAAAAAACAGAACTAAGAGAGAATTTAAATAACGTAAAACCTTCATACTTGCTTGACCTCATATCATTTTAAACACAAGTAAATGTTATCATTTAGATTGTATTCATAACATTTCTAAAGTCATTTTAATCTAAAAGATATGTTACACACACAACAAAAAGCCACACTATTTCCCATTGTGAAGGCACACAGCTTTACTCTGCTGGATGAGTGAAATATCAACTTGCTATTCAGGGCCTATGCTGTGCCCCACCATGGCCAACTCCAGCCACATGCAACCAATTTTCTGCCTCTGTGATCCACGATGTCTGGATATGGTTAGTCTCACAGAGATCAAAGCTGCCTTTGATAATGGCAGCAGTGGTGGAGGGACTGCTCCAACATAGCGGGGTTAAATCAAATAGAAAAAGCAGCAATCTGCTTCATGTCAAGATGTTTTCTGCTGCTAGGCTTGACTACACGGTGCTCAGCGAACAGGAAGCATGAGGTCTCAACGGTGCATTTTAACACGAGATTGTTAAAACCACAAGTGAATGAGGTGTTAGTGGATGCTAACATTAATTCAGATGCTGTGCAGTTGTTATAAGTTGTGTGATTTTGTAGGTAATCATTATTTTGTTCGTTGATTGTCATAGAAAAATGCCTTTCTATGCGAATTTGGTTTGAATTTGTTAATGGGGAAACAAACAAACATACAGGCAGACAAACAAATGACCAGTAAGCATCTCACAGAGATTTTATTTTACCTTATGTTTCACAAAGTTCTTTCAAAAAGTGTCAACTAATTAAGTTTGAACAAGAATAAGCTTTATATTGTACCTTTTACACAATTCTTCAGGGAAGTGACAATGACACAACACATAAAAACCTCTCCACCTCGGTTTCTCCATCACACACAGACACACACAGACACACACACACAGACACACACATGCAAACCAGCCACATGAAACAACCTAACATCCCATCAAATGTTCTGAACAGAGTAGGAAGTATCCCCACCAACTACCAAGCCAATGCCTCACTAAAAGAGGATCAGAAAGTATCAACTTTGATATAGCTTCCACATGAATGCATTTCATATTGATGCATAGTTAAGTTGTCAGGGAGATAACACACTCTTCAAACACTATCAACAAATAAAATGTTTTTCATAGTGCAAGTCCACAAACAAGCAGAACATCTGAGAACACAATTAAAAAGTGCAACAGCATCATCAGCAAACACACTGACAGTGACATACATCACCTTAAAAACATAAATATAAGGAATGTACTCACCGGTTTCATGTTGTAGCAATACATCAGGGAGTTGTTGCCTGTGCCAGAGACAGGATGAGCACAGTACATAACTCCGTCAGATTCAGTGCAACACTCTCATACAATCCACTAGCAGCTCCTCTGTCCGTGTCTTTACTCATGTGTGTGTAGTCCACATGCACTCCTTCCCCTAACCTACCCCTGCTGGTCATGCAGCTACCCGCAGACAACTTATGCAAATAAGGGCCGGACCATTCCAGGCGGCAGAGAGGGGTGGCCCAGGGTTGATGCTATTACTGCACTACAAGCCTGGACTAGAATATTCTATGCTGTCTTTTTGTATGTATTCAAATAAAAGTATTAGAATAAACTAAGTCAGGTTGTTTTGTTACGTTTTATGTGTCTGTTTTTAATTAAAGAGGCTGTTGCGCAAAACTGCATCATGAAAATAACTCATGTAATAATCAGGGGATTCCCCACCCACACCCACCAACACCTTGACCACACCAGAGGAATTAAAACAGGGGGGTGAGGGTCCACTAACAGTGTCGTTTATACATTTTGTTGTTTAAATGTCCTCCTCTTCTATGACATCCTACGTTGGTGTACAATCATATGCAGGCAAATTCAGAATGACGGCATACATGCAGATAATCACGTGTAAGCCAGGTAGATGTTTCCAGTAAACAGAAGCCTCCACACTCCTGTCTGACCTACTTGTACAAATAGATCCCGATCTTCAGTTTGTAATCACGTGTGAGCTTCTCCAGCGGCTGGGATACAAGTTATTTATACAGCAGCCTGTCTGGGTGACCTGGTACTGAAAACACTTCCTGTGTGAGGTAAATCCACTGCTTGAAACTGACAGTGAACTACTGCATGTGCAAACAAACAGCTCAGATATTTTAGGGTACTTTCTTTAGAAAACTCTCACTGTCAACTTGTGAGCCAATCCTCATACACCATACTGTCGGGGTACCTTTAACTTTTCCTGTTTATTTTTGCACATTTCTACACAATGTTAACTCTTTTAAAACTGCGTAGCTCTTCCACTTTTAAATCCTGAGATTCTGCACATATGTAATCTTTCTTATTTTCATATTTCTATTGTATTACCTTTTTTGGTTTGTTTATATTTCTTGTAAATATAAATTGTTCTTGTTTAATTTTAAATAGATTTAAAAAGAGTTATATATTTGCTCTTAATTTAGTACTTAATTAAATCTGATTCTAGGAAGTCAACTGAGCTGCTAATGTTAAAATACTAATAGGATAGACGATGTCAACTGTGCTAGGCGTTGAGCTGCTATATGTTGTGCAGTAATCTCTCTGTATGTTACATAAATATAGTTAACCGGAGAGGGAGAAACAACTCTGCTCAGACCTGGAGTGTGCCGGCAAGTGTCCTAAAAAGACCTCACAAGAATCCAATCAAATAATTTTCCCTGAGCCAGCCGCTCAGCACTTATCTTGAACTCACTGTCATACTAACCCTGCAGTGTTGACACTGAAGCCACACGGGACTGTGTGATGTGGAATCTTCTCACCACATCTATTTCCATTTGAGTCATTACCATAATGCATGCTGTGCTGCCCCTATGTGTGAGTTTAAATGCACAGCTTGTGTATTTCAAAAATAGTAAACCACATTTTTTCAAAGAATCTTTTTAAAGGATTATAAGAAATAATTTAAAGAGCCGATTATATAGATTCCATTTTTTTTTTATGCAGTTTCATTCATGGCCATGATAAGGAGTGTTATGTCAACTGATGGAAGAAAGTGTAAAAAAACCTGATCTGAGAGCAGAAAAAACTAAATGTGTTTTCTGGTTTAAATCTTTCTTAACCTGAGCTTCCTCAAAGTCTAATCCCGACCACGCTAGTGTTAACTGGGTTAGGCGGTCAGTCTCTTCATCATAACAATCATTGCTGGAACTTTCCTTTATTTTCTAGGAATAGCATCTCCCCTATAATTATTATTTTTGTCAAATGGTATTGGTTATAAAGAAGAAATGTCCTTATTGCAGGTGAAATAAATGACACAAATCAGGACACATAATCCTGGAACAACAGTGGATACTGAATGACCTTTTCTTCTGACAGAAATCAGTTCTCCTATCTGGCACACTAAGGATGCATCTCACACACACACACACACACACACACACACACACACACACACATACACACACACACACACACACACACACACACACACACACACAGACAGACAGACATCTTGGGTAAATGATCCAAGAGCAAATATATACAGTCCCCTAACCCTGAACTTTGCATCAATCTTAGTTAATTGCAGTCTTGTCAGGAGTGCGATTATTCAAACAGGTAATGCAAATGTTAATGAGCTCAGATTTGCATATCTTTATTTTCCCATGGTTGAAATGTCATTGGTTATGACGCTCTACAATGAAGAATGTCACTTCTGATGGCCCCATGATAAGTTGTTGGCCATTAAGAGGCCAAAAAAGCAACTGAAGAGGATGGGAGGAAAGGATGGAAATAAGAAAGGAAATTAAGACTTTTATATGCAAAAAAAAACATATGCACTCACTGTAGCCCTCAGTTATCAAATTCAATTTTATTTGCAGAATATATTAAAGGCAAAAACTGTGATTGCATTTTGTAAAAGTAAAAAACCAATTTAGATATGGCTCACCTATATAAACAAAAATATAACGTATACCACTTTGCAGTCATGGTTGTCCTTTTCTGTAAGATTGTGCATACTACGCCTGCAACACACATTTCAAGTGTTACTGGCATATTGCTCATCGTCATGCGCCTGATTTGACATGGCTCTAATAACTATCTTCCTGCCAGTGATTGGCATTCACACAAGAAGGGGTGAGTGGGACTGGGGAGCAGATGGTGACATTCCACATGACCAAACTGATCAATCAGCATGCTGGGACGCAGGTGCAGCACAGGCGGGCAGCACCACACCATCTATTTCACCATCTACGGGGCACAAACACATGGGCACCAATCGTGGCACCCTGAGGGTCTGCATGCTCCTCTGTCCCGCTGCGCCAAGGTTGATGACATCAGAATTTCCCATCCGCTCTTCCACAGGACGCCAAGGAAAAGAAGGCGGAGAAAAAAAAATGCCGTATAAAATCTGCAATAACAGGGATAGGTTGTGGTGACGTAGAAGCCAGGGACTCCCATACTTTATCCTTTTACTAACCTGATTAACAGAAAGTAAACGTAGATAAAGCTAAACATCTTTTAATTTACGGTATTATTACTTGCACATCAAACCGTATTTTAGAGGTAATCATTATTTTTTATTTCTTCCTCACTACAGCCACATTATGCTAGCCTGCACGCTTTCCATGACTTCATCGTAATATTTAGTTTAAGATTTGAAGATAATTATCATTGACCATAAGCCATGTTGATGTATTCAATTGTTTCTGTATCTCAAAAAACACATTCTCACAATTTAAAAGCTGGAACCATACAATATTTGCCTCTTAAAACATGATTCAAACAATTAATCTATTATCAAAATAGATGCCAATTAATTAAAAAGCTTTCGTTCAAACAACATTATTTTTGGATGAGCAAGGAGTTTACTATCAACAGTAGTTCTGATTTTATCAGACAGATCAAAATGTATTTGGTTAATGGCTGTACACTTACAACAGCCAGCTTTTAAGAGTATTGTGTTTCTACTAAAGCAATTCATACAGAAGTTATCTTTTCATGTTTCCCTTTAACGGACATGTCAGTGAATGCATCTTAAAGCAAGCAGGCCTACTGTTGGCATACAGAGGGAAGCGTGTTGGCCGTGGTGTTTGATACCTGTTGGCGTGACTCTGTGCTGAGGATCTCCTGTTTCTCCGGGATAAGACCCGAGCACGGAGAGCTGATCTTATAGTCTGGCCTGAGTGCAGGAAGAAGTGGGGGTTGTAAGAGGATTGGAGAGGCCATTGCTGCATGGTGCACGTGTGAGCTAGACTCACGGACCTCTGCACCACGGTAACTGTCCCACATTCACCATAACCTCCGAGAAGAGGATGGGTGGCTTAAGGTCACTGCTGCCAGTCTAGAGCATGACCTGCTTCATTTGCAGGGAGCAGGTAATGAAATCAAAACTGTACAACAACAAAATAAGTGGTGATTAGGGGCGATGAGTGTGTTTAAGTGTGCCAGCACATACTGTATAATGTGCAGCAACAAAGGTTCACACAATCAGCTTCCTTTGCTTGTCTCTAAGAACAAAATCCTCTTTAAAAATGTACATTAAAATATCAACCGTCAAGAATGGGTGGCCCTTATCAGCTTTGTCATTATTTATTTATTTCATTTTAACATGTTTTCTTATATGTAGGTGCTCGGAAATATCCGGCATGTGTTTGGTAAAAATATGGCTAAGTATATTGTGATATAATTCCTCTTAAAAGTTTTTTTTTGGATCATCAAGCGATAATAGCCAACACATGACTCAGAACTAAACAGGCCTTATTGAGGAGATCTTTTAAATTGAGAAGGTTTCATGAAATGGTCACAAAAATGGCAGCAACTTTTGGAAGAGAGTTGTGTAAATCTTAGCGTTCGGAGGAATGAGCAAGGGCAAAGACTGCTGAGATGAGACCTTCAAGCCCAAATGGGAAGTGACAGGAGACTGACAGTAAAATAAATCAGTCCAGAATAGCCAGCAACCGAAGGTCAAAAATAGAGTGAGAAAACAATGACTAACAAGGAAAAACATTTTCTTGAGATTTAGATGAAGTGTCACTGTTCCACCCCCCCCGGATGTTGTTAACAAGCCAGAAAATGACGAGGTCTGATGGATGTGTGTGATAACACATAGAGAGAAGGAGAAATTGTTGACACATTTTGAAGCAAATTACAATCTATTTAATTTTTTGGCCACACGATCATAATTAAATCACGTGTTTAGAGATGTTTTTCACAATTTCAGGCTGTATCCAAAACACCCATGACATCCCAGTCACACCACAACTAAATTACAATCCTAAAAAAGGACGGTTTTATTTGCTTTTCATACAGCAGAGGGTGCTATGCTGGCCACCAAGACACTACAATCTGCAAAGAAGAGTAGAATATCACATCATACATAACATATATATTATTTATAGCTGGTCCATGCCAACCTCATGCCTCACCTCACATGACTTCCTCCTCACGTCCTCTCG